TCCAGCCAGGTAACTCTGCCCCAAACTTTGATGGATGCTGGCGTCAGAAGCGGGGCCCCCTGGACTCCGTTTTGTTGAGGGTGGCACTGGTTTCCAGTGTCCAGGATCATTAAGCACCATTTGAGCCCGGGGAGCAGAGAGGGAATGGATGGTGTCTTGGTGGGACGCGACCTGTGGGTGATTTGGTGGTGACTCTGCTAGCTGCAGAACCCCCAGGCTTGGGTCTCCAGCCTCCCAGGGATCCTGCACCTGATCAACGGTTCTTTCTGCCGTGACCGATTTCTGCTGCTTGCAGTTTAAGAATCCTGACACTCTGGGTGACGGTACAACTGTTAATGGGTGACAATGTCACAGCAATAAGTTAAAGGTATAACGGTGACAGGAGACAACATGAATGTCCCAGGCAGTGGAGCAAACCAGAAAACGGCAAGGTGTCCCATGGATGGGTGACAGTGAGAGGGCGACAGCAGTGGGTGACACTGACAGGTGACCCTGTAATAAGAATTTGGTGGTGATACAATATTGACAGGGAGACTGTGTGAATGCTCTACCCTTATGACAGTGTTGGGGTACACTAGGATGCTGGAGGGGGAGTAAGAGCCTAAATGTCTCTTCATGACAGTGTGATGCAACAGAGTCATCGTGTCGGTAATGGACAACAGTGTAACAGACTCAGGCAGTGGAAGGCAAGGTGGTGTGACAGTAATGAGGAGGGTGCAGTGGCAAAAACCACTCACTCCCTGCTGTCATTGAGAACTTCCACGTGTCACTGAGACTTCCAACAGCTCCACACCGCCTCTGTCTCGCCACACCTGATGGATTCCTTCTCCCCTGGCTTCCGGAGAGCGGGTAGGGAGAATTCTAGAAGGAAGCACTGCCTGATCTACCAGCCCACCTCTGGGTTTAGCCATCGAAGTATTGGTCACGCCGTGTCCCTGGTGTGGAACTGTACCTCCCCACATTCCACACATATGCTGGGCTGCTTCTGGGGCAGCCAGAACCTATCCCAGTGCCCGTGTAAGGCACACTTGGTGGCTGAAGAGCAGACCAGGGTGGACCTTGGCAAAGGAGCCTAAGAAGCGGTGACACAGGTGTCCCCGAAACCTGGCTCATCCACGACAGCCCCCGGGCCTTCCCACACTGGAATTCCACACCTCTGTCAACTTGATCCTGGGGTTCCTTTCCTAGCTCACTCTCCCCACACCTCACCAGCCCTCCTGACCGTCCTCACTGGCCCCGGAAACCCCTTTCCCTCAGTCAGGATGCCCTGAATCTTGTCCCCAAAGTTTCGCTCTTCCTCATGCCCCCCTAGCCCAGCCCTGGAGCCCTCACTGCTCCCCAGACCCAGTTCTAGACCCCACAGAGCAGCCTTCAGAGTGACTCCTCTTCCTGGAAGCCCACCATGGCTCCCCTCAGAGGTGGGGGGACACTACTGAGGGCTCCTGGCCTCTGCTTACCCCTCCAGCTTCCCTCTTGCCCGCCTTCCCTTTTCTCCCCTCCCCAAAAGCTCCAGTTTTGCTCAATCTGCACATGTTCCATATTCTCCTGTCTCTAGGCATTAGCTTATCTTTCCCCCAACTTTTCATAGTTGCTCTTTTCCACTGAGCCTTCAAGGCTCCCATTCCCAGGCAGAATGCTCCTTTCTGGGCTTCCCTGGTGGCGCAGTGGTTAAGAATCGGCCTGCCAAGGCAGGGGAAACGGGTTTGAGTCCTGGTCCGGGAAGATCCCACACGCTGTGGATCAACTAAGCCCGTGCGCCACAACTACTGAGCCTGCGCTCTAGAGCCTGAGAGCCACAACTACTGAGCCCGCGTGCCACAGCTACTGAAGCCCGCGTGCCTAGAGCCCATGCTCCACAATAAGAGGAGCCACCACAGTGAGAAGCCCGCACACCGCAACAAAGAGTAGCCCCTGAGAAGCCCCCGCTTGCTGCAGCTAGAGAAAGCCCACGCGCAGCAACGAAGACCCAACGCAGCCAAAAATAAAGAAGTAAAAAAAAAAAAAAAAAAGAATGCTCCTTTCTTTCCCCCCTCCTTCTCTCTGGCCCAGGAGTGTCATAGAGTCCAGGTCTGTCTCTTGGGACCCATATTGGGAGATTATAAAAGTTACCTCTCTCGTAGAGATTTTTTGGTGATTAAATGAGATAATGTGTATGAAACTCTTAACACCAAGTCTGGAACATAAGCACCTGCTAAATATCACCTCAATTTGTTATTTGCTATTTATTTCATTCCACAAGTACTTTGATGGAGGCATGATCAGCACAATCAGCTTTGGAATTCAATAGGGTAAACTAACAATTTCGGTGTGGGGAATGGATTTTTGAACTGGGCTTTGCCAGATGCATAGGAGTTTGCTGAGTGGAATAACAGCCTCAGGTCCAACAAACACCTTCTGACTAATCCCCATATTCAGGCTCACTGGTCTGGTGGTGTCTGTTTTCAGAGGTGGGAAAGTAGTGGGGAAAGTTAGAAATTTTTGTTTGGATATAAGCTCCAGCTAGGGAGCAGAAATTCTGAAATTCAGCCCCTGTGACAGGTGGAGAAACTGAGGCTAAGAAAGTCTAGAACTTCGGGATTCTTAAACTCTCCATTTTGAGAATCAGATGAAAAATGTGGACCTCCTCTCTAGAAAACTCATCTTTGGCCATCGTTTTGCCTACATTTTTAGGGGCTTCCGGATGTCAGCCTAGTTAAGAATCCAGGCCCCAGGCGCCAGGTAAGTTCCCCAAGTCACCCTTGGAATTCTCCTTGCCCGAGGGAGGAGGCGGCGGCTCGGGAGGACTTAGGAGTGGGCCTCCAGGTGAGTCCCGGGAACTTTCAAGCCTGGTTCTCTTCCAGGCCACCCCAAATCGCAGCCCCATCTCAGGGCACCACCACTCAATTTCTATGTGAAAACGTGGTCCCCCCAGCCTCCCCACGCCGCGTCTCAGCCCACGCCTACGGCTCTGTGCCCCCCATCCCATTTCTTCAGCCCCTCGGAGTTTCTCCCGTAGCCCCAGGCCCTCCCCCAGCTCCAGCCCCTCCCTCCGCCCGGCATCGGAGCCCCCGGCCCCCGCCCCGGGAGCTTCAGAGGTGCAAACGCGCCCTCCCCCAACTCCTCCCGCCCCCGACTCCCCCCGTGTGGCAGCTCTGGGCTGAGAACTCGGCGGGGTCGGCCTCTCGGTTTCGCGTTCCCGCCCCGGGCCCCCGGCGCCGCGCCAAACCGGCCCTCCAACGCCGAGCCCCGCGCGTCCGCTCGCCGCGCCTGCCTCCACGCGCGCCGCTGGCAGGTAGGGGAAGCGCGGGACCATCGGCGGGCGGAGAAACCGGAGAGCAGCGGGTCAGGGGGAGGCAAGGGCGGGAGGAGGGGGCCGGGGCGACGGAGGGGGAGGGGATTCCTTTGTTTGCAGCCGGCAGCCCCGGACCCAGCCCCTTCCCCTCCCCGCGCTACGCTCGGCGCCGGCGTGGGGCGCGGGGACCTGGCGCGGGCGGAAGGGGCTCGGCCCGGGTGCGGGTAAGGGCGCGGGCGGCGGACACAGCCGGGCTCTGACCCGCAGGTGAGGGCGGGGCCGAGCGTGATCGCGGCTCCCGGGCCTGCGTCCCCGGCTCAGCCCGGTGGAGAACGCGGCTGGCGGGCTCTGAGGACGCGTGCCCCCTCCTCGTCCGCGGAGCCCGGGATTCCTCGCTTCCTGCCCGCCGCCTCCCCCAGTTACCCCGTGCAGTGCGCGCCGTCCCCCCGCTCATTCATTCCACAAACTCCCGGGCGCGGTTCTCAGAGGCAAAGTGGGGGGTGAGGGAGGAGTTGGATCAAGCCAGGCCGGAGATGGAGGCCCCGTGGGCCCTGAATTCTGCCTAGAGAAGGCGTGCTCGGAGTGCAGACCAGCCGGGACAGCCTGGGAGCAAGGAACGGGTGCCCCTCACCAGCCGGGCCGATTCTTTCTCGCTTCCCCGTCAAAGGTGACAAAGGTCTTTTCCTTCTCCGAGGACCTTGGGACCACCTGGTCAGACTCTCATGTCACCCCAAGGCCCAGAGAGGGGCAGCCACTGACCCAAGGGCACACAGCAGACTCCCCGTCTGTTCTGCACCCAGGCCCAATTCTTCTCCCTGGTGTGGAAAGTGGGACTTGAAAGGGGCCCCCCATGAAGGCCACTTGGTCTGCCTTTTGTTCCCTGAGGGTTCAGCTTCCATCCTCCTAACCTTTGCCTGGTCATCTCCTCTGCCAGGAGTGGCCGTGTCCCCTTCGCCTCCCTCCCATCCTTCCAGGTCCTGGAGAGAGCCAGCCACCTCCTGGAGGGTAGGGTACCCTTGATCTTCTTCCCGTCCCTCACCTCTGCCTGGGCTTTAGCTCCCACTCAGCCCTTTGCTAAATGTGTGATGGCCTTTGTTTGCTCCTCTGTGAAGTGGGCACAAAAGCTGTCCCTTCCCTGCTGGGCAGAGGGATGTTCTGTCCTTTGGGAAGTTCTAGCCTGTGCCCCCTGCTCCTGGAATCCTTTCCTCTCATCTGGATGCCTGCCCCAGCCTCTTCAACTGCGTGCTTCCTCTGGAGCCCCTGCAAGTCCTTCCACACTCCATCAAACACCCATTTCTGCCCTTGTTCCTCCCACTTAGAGCCCTTCAAGGGCTCTCCATTGCCCTTGACGTACAAGTAGAAGCTCCATTACACAGGTATGCACTCCTGAAACACCCTGGCTGCCTGCCACCCCCTCCCCTCCACTCAGCGGTCCACGATCTTCTTGCCTCTGCTCTCAGTGTGCTGTGTCTGCCCCGACACCCTTCTCTTGGATGACTCCATCGCTGAGACATCACACCTCCTCCGAGAAGCCTCCCCTGACTGTTCACCTGCTTGTGGGTCGGGGTTGGATGCCACCCTGGGCTCCCACAAGCCCCCAGTTTCTCCATCCCAGCAGTGGTCCCACTGCTTCTGGTTCTCGTGGGTGCCCCGTGGCCAAGGGCTTCTTGCTGAGGTTGACTCTGCTTCCTCTCCGCAGCCTCCGAGGGACACGTCATGGTTCTGGAGGGTCTGTGCTTGACAAGGAGAGGGGCCGGCACCCACACCATGGCCCGGGACCCCTTGGCTCGGCTCTTGCTGGCCTGGACAGCCCTGTCGTGCGTGGCGGGTGTCCAAGGCCGTTGGGATGGGGCTGTGGAGCCTGCAGGTCTCGGACGTGTGCGCAGGCGTGGCAGCCCAGGCTTCTTGCAGGGGTGTGTGGTACTCGGGATGCCGAGAAGCCCCTGGGGTGTGGGCTGGGCTGGGCTGTCCTGCTAGGTGCGGGGGGTGAGGCCCAGGGGATGTCCAGCTGGGCAGGGGCTCACCAGCCATGCCTGCTCTCCTGAAGGCCGAATGTGTGTGGCTCCCGATTTCATGCCTACTGCTGCCCCGGCTGGAGGACGCTGCCCGGTGGGAACCAGTGTGTTGTGCGTGAGTGTCGATCCCTTCTGGAGGTGGGGGGTGCAGGCAGGGGACACTAGGGTAGTTCTCTTACTTACTGCCAGCAAGTCCAGCCTTGTTTAAAAGTGGACTTGGCCTGGGACGTCTGGCTAAGCCACAGGAATGGCCCCTGCTTCTGTCTGCAGGCTCCCAGGCCACCCGCCCGTGTTTCTTTGTCGTACAACTTCCCTGTGTCTGTCTGCTTGTTGGTCCGTCTGTCTGTCTCAGTCTCTGTCTCTTTCTGTCTTGGTCTCTCTCTGAGTCTCTGTCTCTCTGTGTCTGTCTTTTTCTCTGTGTGTGTGTGTCTCAATCTCTCTGTTTCCCCACTCCCACACGCACCCCGTTCTAATGTGTCTAGAATCCGACTCTGCTTCCAGGAGATGCCCCCTCGCCTCCTCCCCAACAGTACAGCCAGTGCCCCAGCACCTCCAGCTTCTGTCCTTACTACTCAGCGTTTCTGGCCCAAAGAGCACCTCTGTCTCCCAATGGCTCTAGCAGAGCCTCGGCCCCCGGGGCACCCATGGGGTGGGGATGGCGGAGGATTCGGGTCCTGGCCTTGACCGTCACCTGTTACTCTCCAGCGGTCTGTAGGCACGCCTGCGGCGAGGGCTTCTGCTCCCGACCCAACCTGTGCGCCTGTGCTGATGGGAAGCTGGCCCCCAGCTGCGGGGTGAGCCGAGGTGAGCAGGAAGTGACCCTCCCAGGACTTCCCTGGCGGTCCAGTGGGTAAGACTCTGCGCTCCCAACGCAGGGAGACTGGGCTCGATCCCTGGTCGGGGAAGATCCCGCATGCCGTGTGGCGAGGTCAAAAAAAAAAAAAGTAAAAAATGAAAAAAAAATTATAAGCTTAAAAAAAAATAAAGAAAGCAAGTGACCCCCCAGGGGTGGGAAGAGAAGGTGAGAGGCTTCCCGAAGCTTCCGGGAGCCCAGGCTGGTTTTGCTGAAGGACCAGAGCCAGGCTGGGCGCACCTGGTCCCGGCGCCTTGTACATGCATCTCGGGGCCTTCCTGTGTGTCCCTCTTCCCCGCCCGCAGGGTCGGGGTGCAGTGTGAGCTGCATGAATGGGGGCAGCTGCCGAGGGGAGTCCTGCCTGTGCCAGAGGGGCTACACGGGCACCGTGTGTGGGCAACGTGAGTACCCATCACGCACACCTGGGCTTGGGACCCCAGAGGTCAGGTCTCTGCTGCCACCTGCCCACCGCCCACGGGTCACTCCTCTGGGACCAGGATTGGAGGGGACACACTCATTGTCACAATCTTATCTCTTGGTCTGGGCCGGATTATGGGGATTCCTGCGTGAAGGAGGGCCCGTCCGGGCCCCAGCTCCCTCTGCTGCTGGGGGACCTCAGGCCACACCCCCCACTTCCTCCACAGCCGTCTGTGACCACGGCTGCCACAACGGGGGCCGCTGCATCGGGCCGAACCGCTGTGCCTGTGTGTACGGCTTCATGGGGCCTCAGTGTGAGAAAGGTACCAAGCTGAGCGTGGGGCAGGGGTTTGGGGGGAGGAGGGCTTCCTGGCAGCCCCTGAGACGTGGCCAGGCCCTGGGAGGGTCCAGCTGACCTCCTTCCTGCTGTCCCTGCTGCTGTGAAGGGCAGAGAGACTGTGCTCCAGGGAAGGGAGTCACGGAGGGCTTCCTGTAGAAGGGATAAATCGGAGTTCATGAGATGGACACGCCCCCTCATGTTTCATCCTCACTGTTGAAATGATCCCACGGGCTGAGGTGGGTGGAGGTCACCTGTTGGGAGGCCGTAACCAAGACAAACACGGTGTAAAGAACAATGTTTTGTGAGAAGTTGGATGTTGGGGGGTGGGGTGGGCAAGGGGAGGGATGGAAGCAGGGACAAATCCCAGGTCTGCTCTGAAAACTGGAGGGAAGGTGGTGCAGCGGGGGGTAGGGAGGGGGAAGACCCTGAGGCTCAGTGTTGGCCGAGGAGCCTGTGGGTCACCCAGGAGGCAGCTGGACAGCCAGGCCTGGGGCTGCCCCATCCACGGGGCTGAAGCCCAGAGGATAATTGAGGTTCTTGGGGAAGAAAAGGGAGGGCAATTTAAGGGTCCACCAGAGAAATGGAGGCCATGGGCAGCTGAGAATGAGAAAGTGAACAAAAGCAGGTGGCGTTGGGGATGCCCAGGCTGGCGAGTTTTGCAGCTGTAGGAGCCATCAGAGTGCCCTGTGTGTCCAAGGAGCCCAGGAAGGCAAAAATGGGCAGGACCCTGGGACTCACCCCAGTGTGAAGGGTGCTGCTGGGGATGGAGGCCCATCTGTGGCTGAAGCCGGGTCGGAGAGGGTATAGCCATGAATCAGAAGCTGGAGGGGCTGGGGGTTACCTGGGTTTGAGAGTGAGCATTTGGAAACTGGATTTGGCGAGAAAACAGAGTTGGAATTCGGGCTGACTTGGGGAGCAGTCGGGACGGCTGAGGGAAAATGAAGGTTAGTGGAGAGGGTGGGAGAGGAGAGGCCTGGAGCGGGGGTGGGGGCCCCAGAGAGAGGCAGGGTTGGGTGCCTAGGCAGGAGTGAGTGGGGTTCCAGGGTCCTGGATGACTGAGGTGAGATTCTGGGGGCCGTGTTTTGCTTTAGGAAGTCAGGACTGTCGCGGGTCTCCCCTCCTTCATACAGGCCTAGGGGCTGGCTTTGGCGTCTCCTTCTGGAAGGGGCTTCCCTTGGTCCAGTGCCAGCCCCTTGATTGGAGCCATCTGGAGGATGGAGCCAGGAAGTCACATCTGGGCCCGTGCACGGCGGTGGGGGGGCCAGTGAGACCACCTTCAGCTGGGTGGGGAGGGGGTGTCAGGGATGCAGAGTTGTGGGTTCAGAGCATTTGGGCGGATGCTGGGTCTGGGAGATTTGGCAGAGCCAGATGTGTGCTCAAGGATGAGAGAGGCTCTCCAGCGGGGTATCCATGGGTCCCTGCCCGGGCTTGAAGGGAGGGTGGGCCTGGGGGAGCGGTGGGGGTCTCCAGACATGCCCTGGGGTTTGTAGGCTTGGAGGTCCTGGCCTCTCTTGGAGGTTGGTTGGAGAATGCTTTGGAGAGAAAGGGTTTTGAAGGGTGAATAGAAGTTCATCAGGTAAGGAAGGGGAACAGTATGAGTAAAGGCTTATGGTCAGGAAAAAAACCTGGTGTGTTGGTATAGGGAGGCTGAGAAGGTGGCTACTGCCGTGGTCCAGGCGAGAGAGGTAGAGGCCTGAGTTGGGCTTGCCGGGATGGAAATGCAGAAAACTATGGGGTGGGGGCAGCCTGAGGCCAGCTGCCCACATCCATCTGCCCTGCAGACTACCGGACAGGACCCTGCTTTGGTCGAGTGGGCCTGGAGGGGTGCCAGCACCAGCTGACAGGCCTCGTCTGCACCAAGGCGCTCTGCTGTGCCACTGTGGGCCGGGCCTGGGGCTTCCCATGTGAGCTCTGCTCTGCTCAGCCACACCCCTGCCGCCGGGGCTTCATCCCCAATATACACACGGGGGCCTGCCAAGGTGAGTGGGGGGGCCCATTGCGTGAGGACCGAGGTCCTGAGAGCCAGGGCTAAGTGGGAGCCCTCAGCAGCCTTGGTTTCTCCCTCTGACGTGCCTCTCATTCCCTTGCAGACGTGGATGAGTGCCAGGCTATCCCAGGCCTGTGCCAGGGGGGAAGCTGTGTCAACTCTGTGGGTTCCTTTGAGTGCCGCTGCCCAGCTGGACACCAGCTCAGTGAGAGCAGCGCCAAGTGTGAAGGTGGGCGACGGGGAGAGGTTCAAGCTGGGACCTCCTCTCCGCTCTGGGCGGCTCAGGCTCCCCTACAAGGAGGAGGAGGTGGAGGTGGGGTAAGGCTGGTGGGGGACTGGACTCTAACCGGACATGTATCTACATAGACGTGGACGAGTGTATCAGTGTGCCAGGCCTCTGCTCCGGGGGCGACTGCACCAACACGGTCGGGAGCTACGTGTGCACCTGTCCCCGTGGTTATGCCAGCAGCCTGGACGGTACCCGTTGCCTGGGTGAGCCAGGGCCCAGGGGGGCTAGAAGGGCAGAGGGCAGGTAGGAGACAGACCCTCTGCTCATCTATGTCTGCAACCCTCTGGTCCTCGGGCTCCTCTAGCCCTTCGATTTCTATGCCCTTCTGTCTTTTTCGGACCCCGGTTTCCATCCCCTTGTTAATTCTGGTTCCCTACCCATTGGCCTTTGTGCTCTCTGGACCCCAGTCTGAGAGGCTCTCTAGCCCCCATCTCTATGCCCTTTGGCTTTCTGGTCCCCTGTCTCGGTGTCTTGGCTGTGCCCCTCTGCCCCTCGGACTCTATGCCCTTCTGGCTCACTGGTTGCCTTTCTTCCCTTTCTGGCTCCCGCTGCTGTGCCCCTCTGGCCCCCGCCTCTATGCCCCTCTGTCCTTCTAGCCCCCACCTCTATGCCCCTCTAGCCCCTACCTCTATGCCCCCATCTTGATGCCCATCTGGTTATCTGGCCTCCGTCTCTACGCTCTTCTGCCCATTAGCCTCTCTGGCCCCCTCTCTGTATCCCTCTTTACGCTCCCAAAGACTTTTTAAAAGTACCCCGTCTTCCCCCACACTGTGTTTGAGATAAACTGAGGCCCAGAGAGGGGAGGTTTGCTTAAGCCAAATCCGCAAGTCCAGAAGAGAGAGCTACCCACACCCCAGCTCCCCAGACCACCCCGCTCCCTGCCCCCAGCCAGGGTGGGGTCGTCTGGGCTGTGCCTCTCCCTGGAGACTCACCCTCCTGGCTAGGGCAGGAGGATCCTTGGGCTCTCACTCCCTGTCCTGCTGTCTTGATGAGCTGGTCGTTAGACTTCACAGGTTGCCAGTGGCCAACAGGGCTGGCCAGGAACACTTGTGGTGGGGCATGGACAGCGTCTTGGTTTGGGGAGGTGGGGTGGGCTTGGCAGGTCTCCAGCACCACTCGGACCTCTCAGGCTGGGTCTCTACCAGCCAGGACAGGGAATACTGTGTCTGGAGTTCTGCCAGTGTACCATGACCAGCGCCAGACCTATTTATTTCTCCACCTCCGGGGGCTATCTTGGCTGGCATGGAGGCTACCTCTGGGCACGTCCCCTGGACTGTAGCGCATTTCCCAACCACTAAATAGCAGAGCCTAGATTTGAACCAAGGTCAGGTGTCCTCTGAACATGGACTTGGAATTCAGTCCTGAGTTCCAACTGCTACTTAAGCTGCTTGCATACTCTGTGACCTTGGGCGAGTGACTTAACTTCTCTGGGCCTCAGCTGCCTCATCTGTGGAACAGAGATAATGGCTGTTCTAAACCACATGGGGAGGATTAAATAACAATTTAGGAAGAGATTTGCCCAGGGCTGGATGTAGGGGGCACTCAATACACATTCACAAAGACAGGGGAGCAGGGAAATTGGGTTTGTTCGCAGTAGGTGCTTAATAAGCAAGGGCAGCATCATTTTTGTCAAAATTCTTACATTTTGTCTCGTCTTCCCTACTTGGGAAGTAGCTGCTTGGTCAGGTCCCCTGGGGTTCAGGGATTTGGGTTTTCATCCCGCCTAGCTCTCCAGCAGCTGTGTGACCCTGAACAAGTCTGTTGACCTCTTCTCGCCTGGGCAGGCCCAGTCCTGTTCGTGGGCCAGGGGTGGGGCTGGGAGTGCAGAGCCTCGACTCCCACACATGCACCTGGGGACCACCCCCCTACCCTCCCGCCAGGTGCACGGGGTATGGCTGGGGAGGTGGAAACGCTTGCTGTTTTCTCCGCCTCGCCTCGGGCAGCTCAGGGACAGCTGCAAGGGCCCTCCCGGCTGGTGGGAGGGGTTTTTCCGCTGTGGGCCACTGGCCAACATTTGTGGGTTTTCGAACCTAAAAATATGCTCTTTTAGAGTCAGAGCTTGAGAAATATGATCACCGTGTAACGCCATCAGGCTCGAGGGCACAGTGGAAGCGTCTGTGGTTTTCGTACCTGGGGAGTCTCTGCCTCAGTCTCTCCAAGAGTTGCAGCCATCAGTCCACCAGTCTGCTCCCCCAGCCCCTCCTCAAATTCACAGCCTCTTAGGTTTCCCCAGAATGCCCAGGGCTGGTAGGCGGGGACACACAGATACAGATCCCAGCATCTCTGCTTGAACACCCAGCATGACTTCTCACGGGGGCAACCCCCTGAACCAGGGGTCTTACTCAGTGTGGTTGAATACCCACAGTGACAGGGAGCTTCCTAACAATGCCAGCTTTAGATGTTGGGACACATTTGCTCAGCGTGAGCCTAAGTCTCCCTCCCTGGGGTAATTTGGAAATCTTGGTAATGAGATCCTCACTCAGTGAGGATTGGCCACGTGCCAGATACGGTGCATTCTGCAACACTCTACCGAGGTGAGGTGGGTGCTCTGAGCATCTCCTATCCATGGATGGAGAAGCTGAGGCACAGAGAGGCAAGGAGGTCTGTCCTGCAGATGGTGCTGGTAGAGCTGGGATTTGAAGTCTGGTAACGGATCCTCCCGACCCCCCACCCGCTTGCAGACCACCGTGCCGGCACCTGCTTCTCGGCGCTGATCGTGGGCCGCTGTGCCGGAGACCTCGCTGGCCACTATACCCATAGGCAGTGCTGCTGTGATACGGGCAGGTGCTGGGCAGTTGGCCCGGCCCCTGAGCTGTGTCCGCCGCGGGGCTCTGGTGAGTGGCCTGGGGCCACCTCCCACCTTCCTCTGCCCCCAGAGCTTGGCCTGCAGGTTGGGATCCCGGGGCACAACCGAAGGCTTGGCCTCCAACCCCGCTTCCTTGCAGATGAGTTCCAGCGACTGTGTGCCCTGGGGTTCCCGCTGCTGCCCTCCTACCCAGGCCCCTTCCCCGGCCTCCCTGGCTTCGGATCCAGTGGGCGTGGGGTTCCCAGCCTGGGCCTTGGTGACACCAATATTGGTGAGGACTTGGGATCCAAGACTCCTCCCTTGGGGGAAGGGGGTCCAGGCCTCAGAGACAGAGAGTCAGGGCTTTGGAGTGTGGGTCCTGGCCTGGGCAGTAGGGATGAAAGTACTGACAGTGGTCTGGGGCTGGGGGTAGATTGGGGATCCAGGCCTCCAGGTCAGGGTTTGGGTTTTGGGTGAGGGTCTAAGGCTGGCGTGGGGGGCTGGGGGTCTCAGCCAGGGTGGAGGTGGGGCAGGACTCGGCTGAAGTGGGAGAGCCTGGCCATAGGGGTAGGGTTCCAGCTTCTTGAGTGGGTGTCTGAACCCGGAGGTGAGGTCCAGACCCAGGGGGCAAGCACATGCTCGGGTGCCCCACGTCGGCCCTACTCGCAGGCACAGCCACGCTGAACCAGACCATTGACATCTGCCGACACTTCACCAACCTGTGTCTCAATGGCCGCTGCCTGCCCACCTCTTCCAGCTACCGCTGCGAGTGTAACGTGGGCTACACCCAGGACGTTCGGGGCGAGTGCATCGGTGAGCAGCGGCTGGGGCAGGGGTGGGCTGGGGGCAGGGGAGTGCCCTGGCGGGCTGGGGCTCAGGGTCCTCTGCCTGCAGATGTGGATGAGTGTGCCGGCAGCCCCTGCCACCACGGAGACTGCGTCAACACCCCTGGCTCCTACCACTGCCGGTGCTGGGAGGGCTTTCAGGCGACGCTCACCAAGCAGGAGTGCGTGGGTATGGCCGTCCATCGGACAGTGGGGGTGACCGGGAGCCTGACTGATGGAACCTGCATCTGAATTAGAGCCTGGGGGCCAGGAGGACGCCTGCTGACTGCCCGCCTGCCTCCCCACCAGACATGGACGAGTGCATCGCCAGCAGTGGCCTCTGCCACCACGGCCGCTGCGTCAACACAGCAGGCAGCTTCCAGTGTGTCTGCAATGCAGGCTTCGAGCTCGGCCCCAATGGCAAGAACTGTGTGGGTGAGTTGAGGGTGAGCGGGTGGGGAAGCGGCTTCTGGGCCCCAGTAGCTGCCTTCTGCATCTTGCCACTCGTGCTGCATCACCCACCTCCCTCCTCACGGTGGGTCCTCTGCTCCCCTTTCTGAGCCGAACCAGCCCATCTGAGATCCTCCTTGTGGTCTATCCAGCCCCTACTCACTCCTTCATTCTCTCCTTCCTGAATTCATGCCCTGAATCCCAGGAAGGGGCCTTTGGGGTAAGACCATGCCATCAGCTGTCTGCGTCTGCCCCTGCCCCTGACTCATGGCCCCTCACCTGTCCTCAAGAGAGTCTGGCCTCCGAGAGAGGTGGGTCAGGACTGTGGAGAGCGCCCCGATCTCAGGCTCCCTGTGGGGTATGGGGGTGCCACCCAAGCTCCCCACAGCTTGTAGGGGCCACCGGGGGCTCCCTTTATTCTTTTCGTCACCCTCTCTGAGGGGACCTCCCTTGTAGTCTTCCCTCATCAGGAAGGATTTTCTTCCTTTCATTCTTTTTTTTTTTTTTTGCAGAGCATTTACTTTCTGTTGATTTTTAGATACATTTAGAAAGTTGATTATTAAATTAGCTATTTTCTTAGCATTAACTTTAGGTATAGTCATTTATGTCTGTGCATAAATCATTATAATTTTTATTTGCATTGTTTTTTATTAGTTAGATATCACCTACTGAAAGTAATTTTGATTAATTCATTGTTTTATAATTTTACCATCGTCTTTCTCTTTTTTTTTTTTTAATTTTTGGCTGCTTTGGGTCTTCGTTGCTGCACACGGGCTTCTCATTGTGGTGGCTTCTCTTGTTGCGGAGCACGGGCTCTAGGCGCACAGGCTTCAGTAGCTGTGGCGTGTGGGCTCAGTAGTTGTGGCTTGTGTGCTCTAGAGCCCAGGCACAGTAGTTGTGGTGCACGGGCTTAGTTGCTCTGAGGCATGTGGGAACTTCCCGGACCAGGGCTCGAACCCGTGTCGCCTGCATTGGTAGGCGGATTCTTAACCACTGCGCCACCAGGGAAGCCCTACTGTCAAGTCTTTAATATTTCCTTCAGATCTCTGCATAGTCTGTAACCAGTAAGAGTTGAAATCCTTAATCAGTGTTTTTCTTGGTACGTATAAATTTTATTTTTTTAATTTATTTTTTGTAGTTGAAGTATAGTTGATTTACAATGTTGTGTTAGTTTCAGGTGTACAGCAAAGTGATTCAGTTATACATGTATCTATTCGTTTTTGGATTCTTTTCCTTTATGGGTTATTATAAAGTATTGAGTATAGTTCCCTGTGCATTCTTTCTTTTTTTTTTTTAATTAATTAATTAATTAATTAACTTTTTGGCTGTGTTGGGCCTTCGTTTCTGTGCGAGGGCTTTCTCTAGTTGTGGCAAGCGGGGGCCACTCTTCATCGCGGTGCGCGGGCCTCTCACTATCGCGGCCTCTCTTGTTGCGGAGCACAGGCTCCAGATGCACAGGCTCAGTAATTGTGGCTCACGGGCCTAGTTGCTCCGCGGCATGTGGGATCTTCCCAGACCAGGGTTCGAACCCGTGTCCCCTGCATTAGCAGGCAGATTCTCAACCACTGTGCCACCAGGGAAGCCCTCTCATTTTTTTAAAAAACCTTCTTAGCATCTTTATTGATATATCATTCCATACCATAAGAGTGGCCATTTAAAGTGTACACTTCAATGGCTTTTAGTACAAGCATCACCACAATCTAACTTTAGAACCTCTTTATCACCTCCTCTCCATTAGCAGTCATTCCAGAATCCTCTCTCTTTCCCCCAGCCCTCGGCACTAGGCTAATCGACTTTCCGTCTCCATGGATTTGCCTGTTCGGGGCATTTTGTATAAATGGAATCACGTACTCCGTGGCCTTTTGTGACTGGCTTCTTTCACTGAGCATCATGTTTTCAAGGTCCACCCATGTTGTAGCGGTTGTCAGAACGTCATTCCTTTTTATTGTCAGATGACATTCCATTATACGAGTAGACCACATTTTGTTTATACGTCATCAGTTAATGGCTATTTGGGTTGTTTCCACTCTTTGCTGTTGTGGATAAAGCTGCTATGAATGTTCATGTACAAGTTTTGGTGTGGACCTTTTCTTCATTTATTCTTTCCTTTCCTTCCCTCCCTCCCTCCCTTCTTTCCTTCCTTCCTTTTGGTACAGTCCTTTATTGTTCAAAACTGATACTTTGGTAAACAAATCATTTCTGCACCCACCGCCTTTCTTTAAATTAGACTGTTTTCTTCTCAGCTGACGGTTTTTGCCCTTTTCTTTTTAAATTCAAGTGAGATTCACACAAGATAAATTTAATCATTTAAAAGTGAAAAATTCAGTGGCGTTTATTTAGTAGTTCCCAATGTTGTGCACCCACATTTATTCAATTCTTTTCTGCAGGAAAGTAAACGTAGCATTTTTAAGTGAACAATTTGGTGGCACTTAGGATATTTCCAAGGTCGTGCAACGACCATCTCATTTATGCAATTCTTTTTTGCATTTTTAAAAATCGTGGCACAATATACATAGTGTACAATTTACCATTTAACCCTTTTTTTTTCTTTTCCATTATAGTTTATTACAAGATATTGAATATATAGTTCCCTGGGCTATACAGTAGGACCTCGTTGTTTATCTATTTTATGTACAGTAGTGTGTATCAGCTCCATTCCTACCCTTTTTTTAAAAATTTTATTTATTTTTGGCTGTGTTGGGTCTTCGTTGCTGTGAGCAGGCTTTCTCTAGTTGCGGTGAGCAGGGGCTACTCTTCGCTGCAGGGCACAGGCTTCTCATTGCGGTGGCTTCTCTTGTTGCAGAGCACGGGCTCTAGGCGCGCAGCTCCAGTAGTTGTGGCACGCGGGCTCAGTAGTTGTGGCTCGTGACCTTTAGAGCACAGGCTCCGTAGTTGTGGTGCACGGGCTTAGTTGCTCCAATGTGGGATCTTCCCGGACCAGGACTTGAACCCATGTCCCCTGCATTGGCAGGCAGATTCTTAACCACTGCGCCACCAGGGAAGCCCCCTACCCTTTTTAAAGGAACAGTTTGGTGGCATTTACTACATTCATAAAGTCATGCAAACACTACCTCATTTTTTCCATTTTTTTTGCATTTTTTATTGTGGTGAAATATACATAACATATTTAGCATTTAAACCATTTTTAAAGGAACAGTTGGTGGCATTTAGTGCAATGTTGTGTAACCACCACACCTCACGTATTCGACTTTGAGCAACTATTTATGGAGCACCTACGGTGTGCCAGGATGGAAGATGCAGACTCGAGCTAGTGGCCCCAGTCTTGCCCCAGGGGAGTTCACACTCCAGCAGTTCACTATATCCAAGTCGACATAGTTCCCGACAGTCACATTTTGTCCTGTCAGGCTCGAACTGCCCTGGGAAGGGTCCCTGGAAAAGTGAGGGGGCGGGGCTGGTCTACCAGGCAGGGCTGGCCCAAAGAGGGGTGACTGCTGGGACCCTGCTGGGAACCAGCCTCTCCTGGTGTCCCCAGACCACAACGAGTGTGCCACCACCACCATGTGTGCCAACGGAGTGTGCCTGAACGAGGACGGCAGCTTCTCATGCCTCTGCAAACCCGGCTTCCTGCTGGCGCCCGGTGGCCGCCACTGCGTGGGTGAGGCTGGAGGCTGGACCACAGGGGAGTGATGGGGATTGGGGAGGAAGAGGTGAGGGGAGGCGGCAAGGGCAAGTGGCGGGGGACTGGGACCTGTCGCAGTCGCCCACGGCCCCCCGCAGACATCGACGAGTGCCAGACACCAGGCATCTGTATGAACGGCCACTGTACCAACACCGAGGGCTCCTTCCGCTGCCACTGCCTGGGGGGGCTCGCGGTGGGCGCGGATGGCCGCGTGTGCGTGGACACCCACGTGCGTAGCACGTGCTACGGGACCCTCAACAAGGGCTCTTGTGCCCGCCCCTTCCCCGGTGCCGTCACCAAATCCGAGTGCTGCTGTGCAAGCCCCGACCACGGGTTTGGGGAGCCCTGCCAGCTGTGTCCTGCCAAGAACTCCGGTGAGGGTCGGCTGCCCCACGTCCACCCGCTTTCCTTTAGTTCTTGCTTCTAGTTGATCACCCAGGGGGCAGGAGGGGACAGTGGGGGGGGGGCTTGGCTCCTATGGGGTGGGGGGGGTGGGGATTTCTCTCCCCAAGAAGACACGGAAGGAAGTTGCTCTTCCCACTGGGGGGGGCATCTTAGTCCCAGACCCTCGGTCATCTCCAAGGGGCCACGTCTTGGGCGTGGTTTGGGTTCGGCAATGGCCACTGACCCCTCTCGCTCTGCTTCCGCCACTCCAGCCGAGTTCCAGGCCCTGTGTAGCAGCGGTCTTGGCATCACCACGGATGGCAGAGGTGAGCGGGGCAGTGCTGGGACAGAGGGTTGGGGTCGTGGTTGGGCACTGTCATGTCGCTGGGGCTGCCGTAACAAAGTACCACAGGCTGGGAGGCTTCAACAGCAGACGTTTATTCTCCCACGGCTCTGGAGAGGCTAAAAGTCCGAGATCAAGGTGTGAGCAGGGATGGCTCTTTCTGAGGCTGTGAGGGAGAGTCTGTCCCATGCCTCTCCCGCAGCTTCTGGCACTTCACTGTTAAATCCTCAGCTGGTAGAAGCATCACCCTGATCTCTGCATTCATCCTTTTTTTTTTTTTTAAGTTTACAATGTTGTGTTAGTTTTAGGTGTACAGCAAAGTGATACATACATATCTATTAGATAGATACGTAGATACATACATAGATACATACATATCTATTCTTTTTCGGATTCTTTTCCCTTATAGGTTATTAAAAATATTGAGTTCCCTGTGCTATACCGTAGTCCTTGTTGGTTATCTGTTTTATATATAGTATTGTGTATGCTATTCCCAAACTCCTAATTCATCCTGTCTTCATCTTTTTTTTTTTTCACGCCGTGCAGCAGGCAGGATCTTAGTTCCCCGAGCAGGGATTGAACCCGTGCCCTCGGCAGTGAAAATGCAGAGTCCTAACCACTGGACCACCAGGGAATTACCCCTCTGCCTTCCTCTTGACATGGGGTTCTCCTTGTGAGAACCCCAAATTTCCCCCTTTTATAAGGATACAGTCATATTGGAATGGATTGCGGGTCCACCCTAATGAACTCGTTTTAACTGGATCACCTCTGTAAAGTCCTTGTCTCCAAATAAAATCACATGCTGAGATCCTGGGGGTTAGGACTCCAACCTATGACACCATCCCTTCCTGAAACAGCCTTTCTGCCTGAGCAAGAAATAAAAGGACTTAGAATAGTCAGATTTCCCATCCACTGCTAGGCCATCAGGGCAGGACAGATGTCCACCCCTCCCCCACCCCCTGTCAGTTAAAGGGACAGAGTCTGGAGCCAGATGCGTGGGTTCGACCCCTGGCCCTACTATTTATTGATTGAATAACCTCAGGCAAGTTACCTACCGTCTCTGTGCCTCCTTGTCTGTACAGTGGAGATAACGGTAAGACCCATTTCAGGGATGTTGTGAGGATCAAATGAGCTAATACGCTTGGCGCAAAATAGTAAACATCCTATAATGGTAGTGATTATGATTGCACTTTCTTTTTCAAAATTATGTCGCTGCTGTATAAACATCTGTTCCATGAGTTCCAAACGGGGGACAGTTTTGTCCCCCCTCCCGAGGGGCCATTTGGCAATGTCTGGACAGATATTGGGGAGGGTACTACTGGCACCTCCTGGGTAAGTCTGGGAATACTGCTCAACATCCTACAATGCACAGGACGCCCCCCGTCACAGCAAAGGATGATCTGGCCCCAAATATCCACAGTGCTGAGAAACCCTGGTTTCAAGGGGAAGGAGGCAGGGTCTAGGCTGGAGCTCTGGCCCCCGGGGACATGGCTTCTGGAGCCTCCAGGGAGCCAGGGCAGCTGCTGACGCCCTCCTCCTGGTGCAGACATCAACGAGTGTGCCCTCGACCCTGATGTCTGTGCCAACGGTATGTGTGAGAACCTGCGGGGCAGCTACCGCTGCATCTGCAACCTGGGCTACGAGGCAGCTGCAGCCGGCAAGGAGTGCACGGGTGAGCATGCCCGGCAAGTGGACGGGCAGGTGGGTGGGCCGCCCCCACTGCACACCCCTCACCCCGCTCTCCCCCCCTCACCCTGCAGATGTGGATGAGTGCGCACTCAACAGCCTCCTGTGTGACAACGGGCGGTGCCGGAACAGCCCTGGCAGCTACAGCTGCTCCTGCCCCCAGGGCTTCAGCTTCTGGCAAGACACGGAGACCTGCGAAGGTACAGGGTCGCGGGGCACACAGCCACGCACACATGCATGCAGATCCTTATGCACGCTGCGTGCTCTGGGTACACACATGCTCAAAGACGCATGTATACCTGCATTCACGCACACAGACACGCTCAGAGGCATACATGTATTCACAGTCTCACGGTTACACACACTCAGGTACACACACAATACCCACATTCACACACTTATTCTCACACTTTACACGCATGCTCACAGCCACAGTTACACCCTCAAAGGCACACCCTTATGCAGACACTCAGACCCTCCGACATTCACACATGGGTGCATATGATCACTCAGTTACACACACCGGTACTCACACAAAACACACTCACATACCCATATTCACACTCACAGACATTCCCACAGTCACACACCCTCACGTGCACACTTTCAAAGATATGTGTGGGCCCACATTCTTTCACTCACCCTTTCACACACTTAGGCTCACAGCCACACACACTTATGTGTGCAGTCACACACACCCTCACATACCTGCACAGTTGTGCACTCACATGCTCATACATACTCACGCTTATACACAAGAATACGTGCCCATCCTCCCTCTCCCACACGCGCAGTCACTGACACATACACATGTTCAAGTGTGCATGCTCGCCATTGCCCACACACACGTTGTTGTGATGACCTTGCCCATTGCATAGATCCCTTGGCACTCACAGACGCCTGCACGCGCACACACGCACACAGTCACGCACAAGCTTTTCGTCTGGCCCCACCCCTCCCCTGGTCCTTTGTCTTCTTTCCAGCTGACACCCCTCCCCCACCCTGGCCACACCCAGGCCTCCATCCCCTCTGGGTTTTCCTCCTGCCTCTCACCTGTCTTGTGCCATGACCGACCCTTTGAGGGCCACGATTCCCCACCGTGCCTATCCCTCTGCACTTTTACCTGTGTGCGCTCCCAGGACCCTGCACGTCAGCGTGCTTGTGCAGGTGCACAAGACGATTCAGTGCAAACTCACGTACGTCTGAGCCTGCGCAGTCCGTTCCTTGAATTCTGACCGCTTGCGCCCCCTGCCTCTGGACTTTGGCAGCCGTGGGGAGGAGGGGCCCCTGGTCAGGTGGGGCTCCCCCTCCTGCAGCTCAGGACTCGCTGTGGGGTGGGGCGGCTGGTGGGGGCGCTGTCCCTGCAGACATCGACGAGTGCCTGTCCAATCCGTGTGTGAACGGCGTGTGCCGCAACCTGGCCGGCTCCTACGCCTGCGAGTGCGCCCCCGGCAGCCGCCTGGGACCCTCCGGCACCGTGTGCTTAGGTGAGAGGCCCCACGGAGCAGCGGGGACCCCAACGCCCCGGAGTAGGCTGGGTCGTTGCGGGTCGGCGTGCAGATGTGGGCCCGCCAGGTGAGACAGCAAGCCCCTCCTCGCAGACAGCACCAAAGGCACCTGCTGGCTAAAGGTCCAGGATGGCCGCTGCGAGGCAAACCTGCACGGAGCCACCCTGCGGTCCGAGTGCTGCGCCACGCTTGGGGCTGCCTGGGGGAGCCCCTGCGAACGCTGTGACATGGGTAATGCCCTGGAGGGGGGCTCCGGGGGCTCCCACGCCATCGGGACAACTGGGGGGGCGGACAGATCCCCTGTGTTTGAGTGGAGAGAGTGACTCCTCTCCCCAACCACAGACCCCGCCTGTGCCCGTGGCTTCGCCCGCGTGAAGGGGCTCAGCTGCGAAGGTAACCCCCATCCCCACCCTCTGCGGTTCGCCCTCCAAGCAACACGTGGGCGAGTGTCATGGGGGCTGCCTGGGGCCCCTCCCTGAAGTCATTTGAGATCGAGACATTCTCCCTCCTTGGTACCTGGGTCTTCCCCGCGATCTGCCAGCCCCTGAGGCTGGCACTGCCCCTTCCCCCTCCCCAAGGACCACGTGGTGTCCTGAGGCCCCAGGGGAACAGCTCCTGGGAGCCTCCAGCCCTTGCCTCTCCTCCTTGCCTGCTGCTGCCCAGATGTGAACGAGTGTGAGGTCTTCCCGGGGGTCTGTCCCAATGGGCGCTGCCTCAACACCGCTGGCTCCTTCCACTGCAAGTGTCTTGAGGGCCTGACGCTGGATGCCACGGGCCGGCTGTGCGTGGGTGAGTGCGGGCTGGGTCCCCATGCAGGGCCCCCTGCCCTTCATTGCCTCCACTCCCAGCGGCTGGAGACCCCTCCTAGGGACAAGCAGGATCTCGGGGGTCCTCCAGGACCCTCTGCTCACTGTCCACCTCCTGCCCACGTGTCTCCAAAGACATTTGTTTTGGGGGATGCATCTTCTTAACTGCCCTTCTAAGGAAGCTCATTGCAGATGGCAAAATCTCGTGGAATAATACTTGCAACCTTCATTTATTCTTTCTTGTTAGCGAGTAAGGTTTACACGGGGGGATTTGAGCAGGAGACACCTCTAGCATGAGTGCTAAGTGATGCTGGTGAACCTTCCTCAGCGTCCAGGGCTCAAACCCTCACCCTGAATGGCTTACCCTCAGTCTCAAAGGCTCTGAGATATTTTCGCCCTCGATGAGGGCTTCTTGCTTTGTCCCTATCAACATCTCGAGCAGGACATTTCTTGGCCAAAAGCATGTGCCGGCCAGCAGGTAGTGCTCCGAGTTCTATCAGCTTTTCCTCCTGTAGTCCCATCAATCCATTGGTAGCCTCCTCGGGGTCACCTTGGAGCCTGGTCAACGTCAGGCAGATGGGCCCTGATGACCCTTCTCAACTTCGATTTCCTTCTAAACTGAGCTTCAGGTGTGCAGCGGGTCTTCTTGCTGATTCCAAAAGGTGAGCAAGGAAAGAAAGTAACTGAGTAAAGAGGAAAAAGCCATTGCTGAATTCATGGCCAGGTGAAATGGCTCAGTCTGGTCAGCCCTGGGCCAAGCCACTGGGTACATGGGAACTTAAGACAGATCCCTGTGTGTCATGGCACTTCTGCTTATCTTTATTTTTTCCTAAAGATTCTGTAACAGGGTCTTGTCCTCAAATGGACCCACTTAAACGTATGTTCCTTTTGTAAAGAGTGAGAAGTTGTCTTAGACCAGGGATCAGCCAGCTGTTTCTGCAAAGGGCCAGAGAGTAAATGTTTTCAGCTTTTGGGGCCTCACAGTCTGTTGCAGCTACTCAGCTCTGCTGTGTAGTGTAAACACCCACAGACAGTACAGAAACAAATGGATGTGGCTGTGTGTCAATAAAACTTTATTTACAAAAACAGGAGGCTGGCACCCCAGGCCGTAGTTAACCAGCCCCATTCTTAGACCCTCGTGTCTGGTGCTGAGGAAGGCTTATCCACTCCCAGATTATTCTAAGGGAGTTTTACAGGTTAAACACACACACTCTGGAGCCAGATGGCCTGGTTTGAACCCCGCTCTACCTCTTACTAACTGTTTGGCCTCAGGTCAGCTACCTAACCCTTCTCTGCCTCAGTTTTCTTGCCTGTAAAATGGGCATGATGATAATATTTTCCTCTTGGTGTTATTTTGAGGATTCAATGGATTGATGAACTTAGAACAGTGCCCATCACATAGCAAGCACCTAGCAGTGCAAGTTATTATAGTGTAAGTTTTGGATTATACCATTATTCAAATGTAACTATTGGATTATATCATTTTTAAAATGTAACTGTTGGGAATTCCGTGGTGGTCCAGTGGTTAGGACTCAGTGCTCTCACTGCTGGGGGCCCCAGGTTCGATCCCTGGTCAGGGAACTAAGATCCCACCCGCCACGCAGCGCTGCCAAAAAAAAAAAAAAAAGAAGTATTGGATGATATCGAATCTCAGCATAAGGAAGTCACTCTTCCCGTTGGGGAGGAAGTTTCAGAAGAAGCTGCTGAAGGAGGCTCTAATGCCTGTCCTGGCAGGCACAGTGTGGCAGGGGCAGGACTGGTGACTGCCCCTCCTTGCAGATGTGCGCCTGGAGCTTTGTTTCTTGCATTGGGATGAGGATGAATGTGGGGCCGCCCTGCCCGGCAAGTACCGGATGGACGTCTGCTGCTGCTCCTTGGGAGCCGCGTGGGGGGCCGCGTGCGAGGCGTGCCCTGAGCCTGAGTCCCCAGCGTTTGCCAGCCTGTGTCCCCGGGGGCTGGGCTTTGCCAGCCGGGACTTCCTCTCAGGCCAGCCCTTCTATAAAGGTGTGTTTGGGCTCAGGGAACCTGGTGGATGGGGAGAGGGCACAGCGTGGGTAGAGGCCTGGAGATGGGACGTGTGTTTGGGAGAGAGCAAACATCTGTGGCCAGAGGGGTGAACGCTCAGGCGGTGGGGACCCAGAGACATCGGGGCAGCGTGACATTTTGTGCTCCCATGCTGCAGATGTGAACGAGTGCAAAGCCTTCCCCGGGCTGTGTGCACACGGCACCTGCCGCAACACCGTGGGCAGCTTTCGTTGCTCTTGTGCTGGGGGCTTTGCCCTGGACGCCCAGGAAAGGAACTGCACAGGTACGTGCCCGCATCTGCCTCCTGGGCAGTTGGGGGGCGCCTACAGGGATGGGGGCCATGAACTAGAGGCACCTGAAAGACAAGAACCGGCCTTTTCCTGCCTGTCTACCTGCCTGCTCTGTGACCGAGGACAGCTCAACACCCTCTCTGGGCCTTCGGGATCCCAGCTACAAAAGGAGGGGCTGGCAGAGGTGGCCTCCAGGGGCCTCCAGGCTGGAAGGAAATTCCCTACCCTCGTCTGGGGTGCAGTCACGGCACCTCTGTTAACCTGGGTTCAGCAGCTTGGGGCTCCTGTGCACCCCTGGGTGTTTGCAGATGTGGAGGCCCGGCCCGTGCCCACTCTCTCCACAGACATTGACGAGTGCCGCATCTCCCCTGACCTCTGCGGCCAGGGCACCTGCGTCAACACTCCGGGCAACTTCGAGTGTGAGTGTTTCCACGGCTACGAGAGTGGCTTCATGATGATGAAGAACTGCATGGGTAGGCAGCCACCCCGGGCAGGGTGATGCTTGGGGGTCTCGGGGCCAAGCCGAGGGATGGGGGTGACATTGCTGTGATGGATGTAGGTGGAGGGGGCCGGAGTGGGGAGAAGCCATGATCCAGCTGGGACACAGCAAGTGTGGGTGTCATCCCTGTAGGCTGCTGGACATTGGGTGTGGCATTCAGATGAGAAGCCTGGGAACCAAGATTCGGGCAGGACTCCCGGGGGGTCGTAGCATGAGAAGAGGAGGGGGCCCGGGACAGAGGAGCCTCTTCGCCTTTCATTCACTTTTTCATTCAGTGAACATTTCATGTGCATCTACTCAGGGGAACCACAGAGAGCTCGGCAGCAGAGGGCCATTTTCTCTGAGCTCGTGACCTAATGGGGAGATAGATGTTTAATAAAATAAATCTCCAAACAAATGCCAAATAAAGAGCCACTGTCATAAGCACTTGAAAGGGCCATATGGTGCAGTGGGAGCATAGACCCCTAGGATGTATCCCATTCTGTGGGGCTGAGAGAGTGGGAGTAATTGGGGTGAAGAGGGGCTGAAGAGTGGCTTGAAGAAAGAACAGTGCATGCAAAGGCCCTGGGGTGGACGTGAAGGATAGAAGGAGCTGCTGTGTGGAGGGCCGGGTGGGAGGGGGAACAGCACCTGAGGGGTGGAAGGAGGCCCATGAGGCTGGAGTGGGAGGAGAGTGGGGGTGGGTGGTGAGGTCCCCCACTCCCTGTGCTGATGCCTGGAGGGGCTGGGCCTTGCCTTCCCTCTGTGTCCTCCGGGGGGCGCTTCTCAGGGCCTCCTTCAGCTCCAGGAGTGTCAGCCTGTGTCCCTGATAATTCTGAGAATTCCAGCTGCCCTCCCAGTCTGACTCCCATGGGTCACCCAAGTCCCAAAACTCCAGGCCCTTTCGGCGCCAGCCAGGGTGACAGGGTTGGGGGAGAGGGGCACAGGGAGAAGCTTCCACAAGCCATATCACACCCTGCCAGGTCAGCGTCCTCACACCTCCTCTCTCTCTCTCCACACGCCCAGACGTGGATGAGTGTGCCCGGGACCCACTGCTGTGCCGGGGAGGCACCTGTACCAACACGGATGGGAGTTATGAGTGCCAGTGCCCCGCTGGACATGCACTGGTGGCCAAGGGTACTGCTTGTGAGGGTGAGTGTGGGTTGCATGAGGGAGATGATGGGAGTGTGTGTTTGTGCATCTCCCTGAGTACATACTTATGTATATGTGTGCACACGTGTGTCAGTCTCTATGCATGTGAGCGGTCACATGCATGAGGTAGCATGGGTGCAGGTCATTGTGCGTCCGTGTGATATGACCGTGCGTGGGTGTGAGACGGAGGAAGTGTGTATTTGTGTGTCTGTGTGAGCATGCAGGTGTGTACCTGGGAATGTGTACAAGAGTGAGTGTGTGCATGGGTGTTTATGTGTGAGTCTGAGTGTGTAAGTGTCTACACAAGGATGTGTGTTCTTATGTGAGGGGATGTGGCGTTTGTGCATCTACATGAGCTTGTGAGAGAATGTGTGTCTAGGTGTGGATGTGTGTTGGCACGCGGGTGGGTGTGTTTGTGGATGGGGCTCTGTGCATGTGGGTATGGGTGTGTGTGTCGAGGGTATGTTTGCATATGAGTGGGGATGAGGTGTATTTGTGAGTCTTATGAGTGTGCCTGTGGCTGTGAAGGTGTGTCTACTGAGGGTGATTGTGTTTGCATGTGAGTGGGTGTGAGGGTGTGTTTGTGTGTGAGCTGTGTGCACGTAAGTGCATGGATCAGGGTGTGGGTGTTATCTGCTGAGGGTGTGTGTATTCAAGGGTGTGTTTTGGGTGAGTCTTGTGGGTGTGCACGTGGGTGTGCACGTGGTCTTGTAGGTGGGCACGTGGATCTGGGTGTGGGTGCGTGTTTGTACAAGGGTGAGGTGTGGACTCACACCTGTGGTGGCGTGTGGATGCCAGGAGCATGAATGCATCGGAGTGCACACGTGTCCCAGTGCCTCGGGGTCCTGCAGATGGCGGCTGAACACAGGCCGGGCCTTCCCTGGGGCCCCTCCCCTACCTGCTGTCCCCACCAGCCATGTGCTCCCCCTGCAGACGTTGATGAATGCTCCCTGAGTGACGGCCTGTGTCCCCACGGCCAGTGCGTCAACGTCATCGGTGCCTTCCAGTGCTCCTGCCACGCCGGCTTCCAGAGCACACCTGACCGCCAAGGCTGCGTGGGTGAGACCGCGCCCGCCCCCAGCCCCAGCCGAGGCCCCCACTACCACAGCAGTCACTCCAAGTCCCTGCCTCTGCTGGCCCCGCCCCCTAGTCAAACCCCTGCTTGACCCGCCCCCGCCACGCCCCCACCTCGCTCCCACCTCCCCCTGCCTCCCGTCCCACCACGCCCCTACCTCGCTCCCGCCATGCCCCGCCTCGCCCTGCCTCCCGCCCTGCCACGCCCACCCACCTCACTCCCGCCACGCCCCCACCTCGCCCTGCCTTCCGCCACGCCACGCCCCCACCTCGCTCCCGCCATGCGCCTACCTCGTCCTGCCTCTCGCCCTGCCTCCCGCCCTGCCACGCCAACCCACCTCGCCCTGCCTCCCACCCCGCCACGACCCCCACCTCACTCCCGCCACGACCTCTACCTCGCCCTGCCTCCCGCAGACGTGGACGAATGCCGCTCTGGGAACGGTGGGTGCCACGTGCACTGCATTAACACCGAGGGCAGCTACCGGTGTGGCTGCGGACACGGCTACTCGCTGATGCCTGATGGGAGGGCGTGTGCAGGTGGGTGGGCGCGACCCCCTCCCTCCGCGTGGGATGGGGAACACACCTTTCCTGACCCAGACGCAGCCGGCCAGACGCGGGACAGGCCGCTGACCCTGCAGCAGGGTCCCTGGGACTCCCCCTCCATCCCTGCCTGCCTGCAGCCCAGCCCCCCACCCTGCTCCCCCAGACGTGGACGAGTGTGAGGAGAACCCGGACATCTGTGACGGGGGCCAGTGCATCAACGTGCCGGGGGGTCACCGCTGCCTCTGCTATGACGGCTTTGTGGCCACGCTGGACATGAGGACGTGTGTAGGTGAGGAGCTGGGACTACATACAGGTGGAGGAGGCAGCTTCACAATTCACCCACCAGGCCTTCCACAAGGAGGCCACGTGGGCAAGATAGACGACAGTCCCATCCCCGTCACACGCGGGCAGGGTAGATGAGGCTTTGCACTTGGCAGTCTGCTCCTGGCCACCTGTGCCTAGAGCCCCTGCACCAAGACCCGTGGGATCTCATTCACAGCAGCAGAGGCCCTTGAACCTTGTTATTTTATGAACAGTTATTGAACACTTACCGTGCACCCAGTGCATGCAGAGGCATGTGCCCTGTTCTGAAAGCAATGTAGACCAAGGGGTTTTCTGCAGAGGAAGGTGAGCTAGATGGAAAGACACTGTATTCTCTGAGCCCTGCTTGGGGATCCAAGCTGTTTGGGCCATGATCACCGTCCTGTCCTGGCTGCAGGTCATCACGGGGCCCAAGGAGCAGATGTCTACTGGGTGCCCCATCAGGGCAGAGCTGGGGCCAGTGTGAGGAAGTACCAGGAAGTAAAAAACATAACCCTCCCAGGGAGATGTGTCCAGCCCAGGGCAGCTTAAAGCATTCCCGATCACAGGTGTCTTAGGAAACACTGAAGAAAAGGGGGCTTAGGACCAAGTTAAATAGGAAATGCTGCTTCCTCCATCCCTTCTTGCAGATCCACGTTGGCATAAAGGCTCTGAAAAGGCCTGCAGGAGAAAAAAATCCAGTTAGCTTTGTCTAACTCAGCGTTGTCTAAATGTATTGGTATAAAATCCTTTTGGGAATGCATGTCCAATGTGTTCCACGGAATATGTGCTGTAGACTGTTGACTGAACATTCGCGGCTGCCCAGCGGTGGAATTGGGGGAGTTCCCCACCCCTGAAGATGGGCAAAGAGAACCCCGATGCAGGGGACCCATGTGGCAGGGCACTTAGCAATGCTGCTGCATCCCCACCCTCACCTGCTTCCTCTCTTGTCATCCCACAGACGTGGACGAGTGTGACCTGAACCCCTACATCTGCCTCCATGGGGTCTGCGAGAACACAAGGGGTTCCTTTGTCTGCCACTGCCAGCTGGGTTACGTCGTCAGGAAGGGGGCCACGGGCTGCTCCGGTGAGCTGGTGGTCAGTGGAGCAGGCGAGGGGGCCCCCGAGGGGCCAACTTAGGGTTCATGGGGTCTGCCCCATCCCTTGGAACAGAGTACAGCCAGACCTCATTCTTAACACATTTCCACTGGTGGGGCCTCACGTTAAAGCAAAATTTAGGAACCGATCACGTGCCCCTGGGGCTCCCTTAACAGCTCTGCCGGGGGGAGCTCTGGGTCCCTTTGTATCCACACCAGTTCCCAGAGCATGCTAGCCTGATGCTCTTAAGTGGTACAGGGATGAACATTTAAACACTTCCGTAGTTCTTGTTTTAGCCTCCCAGGATTGCTGAACCCCCTGACCACAAACCTGGTGCCTCAGAACCACAGAAATCTACTCTCTCTAGTATTAACAGTCCTGGAGGCCAGAGTCTGAAATCATAGTGTCGGCAGGGTTGGTTCCTTCTTGGGGCCCCAGAGGGAGAATCTCTCCCATCCCTCTCTCCTCACTTCTGGTGGTGGCCATTGGTCCTTGGCATCCTTGAACACACCATTCCAATCTCCACGTCCATCATCACAGGGTGTTCTCCTCTCTGTGTCCAAATTTCCCTCTTCTTATGAGGACGCCAGTCATTGGTTTTGAACCCACTGTACAGGATGACCTCATCTGATTTTGGTTACACCTACAAAGACCCTATTTCCAAAAAAAGGCCCCATTCAGAGGTTCTGGGAGTTAGGATTGGAACATACTTTCTTGGGAGAACATAATTCTACCTGCCATAATTACATAGTTATTTTAATGCATACTAGACAGAAACCTTGGCAAACAGTATCAAACCCGTGATTTCTTAGAGATCGTTGTTATTTTTCTTTAAAGTATGTTCACGTGAGTAAAAATGGGAGGCAGTGTAAAGAAACTTCCAGCGAACAGCAGTTCACTTAGATGGTGTATGAACATGGCCGAGATAAGCGTGATGCAAAATTGGCTGAGGATCAGACACACTGCCTTAGAAGGAAATCCTGCTTTAGAGAGGGAGCACGTGCATTAGGACAGTTACTCTTAGCGTCTGCCCTAAGTCTCTCATGCTGCCATTTCAGACCATTTCTGGGCGCTTCTGGGAGTCATGCCCTGTTGGGTTTGGGGGTTTTCCTCTTGGGCTCTGGGTGAAGGTGGAAGCTCCCGCAGTGGTGTGGGGACATGTCTGGGCCAGCCCTGCCCCAGGGAAGATCCTTGCTCTCTCCCTTGCTCCTGCACTGAGTCTTGCCACTCTGTACCTGAAGCCCTATTTCTACTGGGCCCAGGTTTCCCGGGGGTGTTGCATCCTCCACCCCCTCTCCTGGTCCTGCCCCTCCTATGCCTGGGTCCCTCTCCTCTCAGATGTGGACGAATGTGAGCTTGGGGGACACAGCTGTGATGGTCACGCCTCCTGCCTCAACGTCCCTGGGAGTTTCAGCTGCAGGTGCCAGCCAGGCTGGGTGGGGGATGGCTTCGAATGCCACGGTGAGTGCCTGAGGGCAGGAGGTCCGGGCAAGAGCTGTAGAGGTAGGTGGGGCGGTGCAGGGGCAGGCAGGTGGCAGGGAGGGGTGGCTGGGCTCAGGCATGTCCAGGGGAGCCAGTCAGGGCTGGGGTTGGAGGGTCTGCCTCCCTGCAGCCCCTCGGTGCACACACCCAGGGGACTCCGGGTCCCATCTCCTGCAGACCTGGATGAATGCGCCTTCCAGGAGCATGGGTGCAGCCCGAGAGCTGACTGCCTCAACACCCCCGGCTCCTACCGCTGTGCCTGCCCCCCGGGCTTTGCTGGGGACGGCTACTTCTGCGAAGGTGAGGTCAGGGGTTAGGATGGGAGGGCTGGAGGGGCCCGAGAGGCACAGCCATGGGGGCTGGATTCCAAGGTGGCCACAGTGGTCAGTTGGCTTCCCGACTTGCACTGATCCACCCACCCACCCTGTGGGTGCCGGAGAGGACAGGCCTTCAGCATTTGGGGCCACGGGCCTGAGCCCGAGTCCCTGGAGGCAGTCTTCTCCCCTGGACTCAGAATGCATGGAGCCTTATGGATGTGGGGAACAGGAGAACTTGCTTACTTCCTGGCGGCCCTCCACCCCAATCCTGAGTGACCAGGTCCCCTATCTGCTCCCTGGCCCTGACTTGGTCACCTGCCCTCCAAGTTCCCCGGGCTACTTGCCAGCTCCCTGGAACCCTGGGTGACTGAAGGATTTGAATGACAGGGGCCACCTGCCCACCCTGAGTGGGTCCTGGCCAGCTGACCCCCAGCCCTCTGTCTCTGGGTCCCCTTAGACAGGGACGAGTGTGCGGAGAATGTGGACCTTTGCGAGAACGGGCAGTGTCTCAATGCCCCCGGGGGGTACCGCTGTGAATGTGAGATGGGCTTCAACCCCACAGAGGACCAGCACGCCTGCCAGGGTGAGGTCTGGGGCTGCCGGGGTGTGGGCAGGTCCCTGGAGGTGCTGGCACTGGGGGTGACAGGAGCAGGATGCCAGGTGGGCTGGGCTGCGCTGAGCTGGGGTCCCCCCACCCCAGATGTGGACGAGTGTGTTCTCGGGAACCTGTGTGTGTTCGGGAGCTGTGAGAACCTGCCAGGCATGTTCCGCTGCGTCTGCGATGAGGGCTACGAGCTGGACCGCGGAGGCGGCAACTGCACAGGTGTGGGGTCCATGGGGCTGGGGAGGGGGCGTGCAGCTCGTGTGTCCCAAACAGGGTTCAGCGGTAAATATTTTCAGGTTTCGGCCATACAGTCTCTGCCCTGTTGCTTGGAAACAGACACAGGCGACAAGTGAATGAATGAGCGTGCCTGTGTGCCAATAAAACTTTATTCACACAAACAGATAGGGGGCCGGATTTGGCCCACAGGTTGTAGTCTGCCAGCCCCTGGCTCAAAACATGTCCTGAATGTTGCTTTTTGTAGGTTAGCTCGTGGAATCTGGGGCAGGGAGAGCTGTCAAGGGCAAACCTCCAGGCCAAGTAGAACAGAGCAGGGGAGGGCGTGGGGCCGCCTGGGACAGGGCAGACCCCAGAGGCTGCTGTCCCATCAGGCTTTCTTCCCAGGGGAGGATGTGACCTGGCCCCTAAGCCTGGCCCCCAACAGCCAGGGCTCGACTCCTTGGGAAGAAGGCAGGAGGGAAGTGGGTCAAGGGAGGGCTCCCTGCTGACGGTGCCCCCACCCCACAGATGTGAATGAGTGTGCAGACCCCGTGAACTGCATCAACGGCCTGTGTGTCAACACCCCTGGCAGCTACCTCTGCAACTGCCCCCAGGATTTTGAGCTGAACCCCAGCGGGGTGGGCTGCGTGGGTGAGCACGCACTCCACTCCGGGTGGGGTTTTGGGGTCAGTGGGCTGGATGGGGCCATAGCCTGGGTCACCCAGATCCACCTGCTCCTGCCACACAGGCCCTTGGCCAGAGTGATCATCCCGATCGTCTGTTGAGATAGAGCCTTCTGCTCTAGACAGACGGACAGACACATGCATAGAGTCACACATGCACACAGAAATATGCATGCACACACTTCCACAGTCACACACAGAGGCACCCATGCACACACAAACACACATAGAGTAACACACAGTTACACGTACACAGAAGTACAAACACACACACGCGCGCGCACACACACAGCATTTCTCCCCCACCACTTGCTAACCATCCCTTTCTGCCTTTTCAGACACCCGGGTCGGGAACTGTTTCCTGGACACACAGGACCGAGGGGACGGTGGCATTTCCTGCAGCGTGGAGATCGGGGTTGGCGTCACCCGAGCATCCTGCTGTTGCTCCCTGGGACGGGCCTGGGGCAACCCCTGTGAGCTGTGCCCGCTGGCCAATACCAGTGAGTCCCTGGGGGAGTGGGGGCGGGGGAAGGCAGAGACCTAGCCCTGGTCCAGGCTCCCGCAGGGCTTAGTGGGTCATCTCTGCTAAGGGAGGGACACTGGGAACGAGAGTGGGAGAAGGGCTCGCCCTGGGTCACACAGCATATTCTCAGCAGTTCATCATCTAGGTCTCTCCCCAAAGTCTCCTTCTGCCATCTCTTCCTGCAAATTCTTTGTGTGTTTATATTCACTTGCTCACTCAGTCAATCAACAAACATTGAGCATTCCTCTGTGTCCTGTCGTAGGGGTGGGGACCTAGAGAAGGATGGACCGCAACTGCTGCACACTGCCCCTTACCCGTAAACCAACAGTCCCTGGACTGTTGAGAGTGGAACTATCCTAAGGGTCTGTTTGAGGCATAGTGATGGGTCAGGAGGAAGCCATGGACAGGAAGAGGGTAAGGGAAGCCTTCCCAACATAGGGACTTGAATGAGGTTTTGAAGGGTGAGTAGGAGTTTTCCAGGCAGAGTAGGGGGAAGGGTGTGGGGTGCAGTGGGAAGAGCATGTGCAAAGTCGTCAGGTGTGAAGTAGGGAGGCAGCTGTCCACCTATTCAGGTGTGTGTGTGTACATCCAGGGTCTTCCTTTCATGGGGGAAACTTGTGGTCACACTAGGGTCTGGTTTTGGATCACAAAGAATCCCTCCCTACCTCCAGCTACTACCACAAGATCCATCTGCTCACATGTTGAACTGTGAGCACATGTTTACACACACACACACACACACACACACACTGGATCCCCCAGGATTGGATCAATGTCTCTTGGCCCCAAGAGGCTGAGGAGGTAAGGGATGTAGTTTCTGTGCTAAAGGGATGTAAGGCCCACTCTTGAGCCCTTTCTAGGGGACCTCCCCTGCCCTGCTTCCCCTGAGCTTTGCCCAAATGCCGCATCCCCCAGCCCCTCACAAGCACCTCTTGCCCTTGCAGCTGAGTACAGAACCCTGTGCCCGGGGGGTGAGGGCTTCCGGCCCAATCCCATCACCGTCATTCTGGAAGGTGAGTTCCTGGTAGACCATCCACTGATTGACCTTCCTCTCATTCCCCCCTCAGCGAGGAACAGAGTTGGGCAGCTTTGGGGTTGGGGGCAGATCCTCTCAGCCATCTCCTCTTCCACCTGCTGGTTTATTGATTCATCCTCCTATCCAACCCCCATCCACCCATCGATCCATTCATCTCTCATCTACCCACCCATACATCCATTCCCTATTTATCCATTCTTCCTTCCTTCTTTCCTTCCATCCATTCATCCATCCATCCATCCATATATGTAAGTATGTTCATCCATCTACTCACCTACCCACCCACCCATCCATCCACTCATTTATCTTTTCGTCCATTGACCCATTTGCTTATTCACCCATCTAGCACTTTTCATATCCACCTATGTACCCATCCACACATCCATCCTCCCATATCCATTCATCCATCCATCCATCCATCCATCCATCCATCCATCCATCCATCCATCCATCCATGGGGGTAATGAGATTGGAGAATTCCATCAAGACGGAACTTTGTGATGGATGGATAGATGAAAGGATGTTCTATCCAATGAAGGGAAAGAGGATGAATTCAGGGTGACATTGACCCAGGAGAGTCTGGGTGCAGCCTCCAAATATCCAACAGCTCTTGGGTATTTTTTTTTTAATTAATTTATTTTTGGCTGCGTTGGGTCTTCATTGCTGCACGTGGGCTTTCTCTAGTTGTGGCGAGCAGGGGCTACTCTTCACTGCGGTGTGCTTGCTTCTCATTGTGGTGGCTTCTCTTGTTGTGGAGCACGGGCTCGCAGCGCGTGGGCTTCAGTAGTTATGGCTCGCGTGCTCTAGAGCGCAGGCTCAGTAGTTGTGGCACGCGGGCTTAGTTGCTTCATGGCATGTGGGATCTTCCCAGCCCAGGGATCGAACCCATGTACCCTGCATTGGCAGGTGGATTCTTAACCACTGCACCACCAGGGAAGTCCCTGAGTATTCTTAAAGAAGCAGGACTGGCTCTCCAGAACCCTGGAGAGCCCAGGGCAAGGCATGGGTGTCCCCCAAGTCCTCTGCTTGGATTTACCTTCCAATCACAGCTTCCTCACTTCCTGACAGACATTGACGAATGCCAGGAGCTGCCAGGGCTGTGCCAGGGGGGCAACTGTGTCAACACCTTTGGCAGCTTCCAGTGTGAGTGTCCACCTGGCTACCACCTCAATGAGGACACCCGCATCTGTGAGGGTGAGCTTGAACCCACCCCATCCTCCCTGCCTTCCTGCTCAGCCTCACCTCCTTTTCAGGTACTGGGGCCTCACATGCCCCTTGGAGTCTTCTCACCTGCTTTGTTGGCTGGGGCCCATTAGAAGGGTTGGGAAGGTTTCCTCGGAATGTCCCAATCTACCCTCTGCTCCGCTGCCCCCTCCCCGTCTCTCCATTGCCTGACCTCCAGCCTCCTTCCCACTCAGAAATGACCTGGCTTTATCTCAGCGACCATGCCCTTCTTCCCTTTGATTAAAAGCTGAGCAAGGCCCAGAGCTAAGAGGGGGAAGGGAAAGACACCAAAGGAACAGCCATGCCTTTCCTTTTCACTTGTCTCCTTACTGTCCTCTTCCGCATCTTAGTAACGATCAACAGTTGACTGGTGTCTGTGGTTGCACGTCACCACGGTGCTGAGCACCTGCCTTTGTCATTCGTTCATTCACCAAAACAGCCTCATGAGAAAGATGTTCCTATTATGACCCCATTTTTCAGATGCAGAAACTAAGGCTCAAGGGGGTTAAGTCACTTGAGAGGTACCAGCTAGTAAGTGATTGAAACTGGCTTTGAGCCCAGCCATTCTTATCCTTGAGTCTGAGCTCTTTTGATGCAATATATGAAATTCCTTCCTTCCTTCCTTCATCCATCCATCCATCTGTCCACCAATCCATCCTTTTTCTTCTTTTCAACAATATTAACTGAGCACCTGCACGCAACCAGACACTGACATCGGCACACGACGACAGTAGATCTTTCACTCTGATCAGCGCTCTAATTTAGAAACTCAAGGAAATGGTGAAAGAAGGGAGAGATCTAAGATTGATAGCCCAATTTCCTTTCTACATGGAGGTGGGAGCTGTCAAACCAGAGTCAGAACCCAAAATGCTTGAAAAATATCTCATCCCTCCCTGCCTCCCCTATTCCGTAGACTCTCAAGGGAAAAAGGGAAAAGTCCTGTCATCAGATATGGCCCTGTGTTGCATTTCTTGACTGTCACAGGGCAGGGAGACTTCAACCTGAATGTTAACCTTGGCTGTGGAGCCTCGCAGGGCCACTTTGTGCCCTTGAGGGCTGCAGGCTTGCAGCATTTCCCAGCTTTCAGACTCAAGGGCCCTGTACTCCAAAGGGTGCCATTCCCCCACCCCTCCCACCCCCGCTTAGTTTAATGCTCTGCTGTCACCATCTTGAAATTCTTCATATACTTTGCCCTGGACAAATTCTGTAGCCAGTCCTTGTCAAACATTTTGTCTAACTCCTACAATCACTAAGTCATATGGTAATTCTATGTTTGACTTTTTGAGGAACTGCCAAACTTTTCCACAGCAGCTGCACCATTTTGCATTTTCACCAGCAACATAAGAGAGTTCTAGTTCCTCCACGTCGTTATCAACACTTGTTATTTTCCATTGTTTAAAATATTATCCTAGTGGGTGTGAAATGGTATCTCATTGTGGTTTTGATTTGTATTTTCCTAATGACTAATGAGGTTGAGTACCTTTGGAGAAATGTCTATTTAGGTCTTTTGCCCATTTTAAAATTGGATTGTTTGCCTTTCTGTTGTTGAGTTGTGGGAGTTCTTTATATATAGTGGATATGAGACTCCCATCGGATATGTGATTTGCAAAGAGTTTCTCCAGTTCTGTGAGTTGTCTTTTCACTTTCTCGATAGTGTCTGCTGATGCACAACAGGTTTACATTTTGATGAAATCCAATTTATCTGTTTTATTTTTCCTTTTGTGGTTTGTGCTTTTGGTGTCATATCTAAGAATCCATTGCGAAACACAGGGTCATCAAGATTTACCTCTGTGTTTTCTTCCAAGGGTTTTATGGTTTTAGGTCTCACGTTTAGGTCTTCTATTTTGAGTTAATTTTTGTATATGGTGTGAGGTAGGGATCCAACTTCACGCTTTTGCCTGTTGGTATCTAATTGTCCCAGCACCATTTGCTGAAGAGACTTTTCTTTCTGCACTTTGTTGAAAATCAATTGACTGTAGATGTCTTGGTTTGTTTCTGGTCTCTAAATTCTATTCCACTAATTTATAGTTCTATCCTCATGCCAGTACCACTCTGTTTTGATTACTATAGCATTGTAAGTAGGTTTTGAAATGGGAAAGTGTGACTCCTCCAACTTTTTTTCTTTTCTCAAGATTGTTTTGGCTGTTTGGGGTCCCTTACAATTTCATATGAACGTTAGGATCAGCTTTTCCATTTCTGCCAAAAGAAGAGAAGTCACTGGGATTTTGATGGGAATTACATTGAATCTATAGATCACTTTAGGGAGTATTGCGATTTTAACAAAAATGAGTCTTTTCATCCATGTACACAGGATGTCTTTCCATTTATTTAGGTCTTCTCTAATTTTTTTCAGAAATGTTTTATAGTTTTCTGTGTACAAGTCTTTCACCTCTTGGGTTGAATTTATTCTTAAGTATTTAATCTTTTGGATTCTATTATAATTGGAATTATTTTCTTAATTTCCTTTTCAATTGCCTTTTGGTAGTTTGTAGAAATACAACTGAAATTTCTACGTCAGTGTGTTGATCTTGCATTCTGCGTTGTGCCCGCTTCATTTATTAGCTCTAATAGTTTTCATTCTGTGGGTTCTCTAGGATATTTTATATATCAGATCCCCTGGTTTTGTAAGTTTTTGACTGGATTCCTGAGTTCCTCAAAAGTTAATTTTGTCAGTTTTTGCTCAGCCCAGTAGTTGTTTTTGTGGAGGAATAAAGCTCTGACATTCCCTATTCTGCCATTTTTGGAAATGTCACTCTTAGCTTGCTAATACTCCACCACCTGTTTTTGTATAGCCCACTAAGAACGCTTTTCACATTTTTAGGTTATTGGAAAAAATCAAAAGGAGAATAATACTTTGTGCTGCATGAAAATGACATGAAATTCACATTCCAGTGGCCATAAATCAAGTTTTACTGGCGCACAGCATGCTAGTTTGTTTACCCATTGTCTGTGGCTGGCTGCCTTCAAGCTACGATGGCAAAGTGAATAGCTCATCAGAGACCATTGTTTGGCTCGCAAAACTGAAAAAAATATTTACTGCCAGCCCTTTACAGAAAATGTGTGCTGCTTCTGGACTAAGGGATCAATCAGATTGAGAATCAACTTTTTTCTTTCAAGAATACTTTATTCATAGGGCTCTTGCTTCCTATTGCATCACACTGGGAAGCACATGATTGCCCCACTCTTGGTGATAATATCATTAACTCATGAGCTCAGGTCATATTTTTTCTTAATAGAAGTGGGATCATAGTAAACTTTTTTCCCCACCTAATACTGTGCCGTATCTTTACACATCACTAAGATGTCTGCATTTTAACCTAATCTTGAAACTAAACTCAACCGCAGAGCGAAGTGTCTCTAGCAGACCTGGGGTGGGGAATTATCCAGACAATTCCTGGATGCAGACAATTCCTCCCTCACCCTGCAGACATCGATGAATGCTCTGCACACTCGGGCATCTGTGGCCCTGGTACCTGCTACAACACTCTGGGGAACTACACTTGTGTCTGCCCAGCGGAATACCTGCAAGTCAACGGTGGCAACAACTGCATGGGTACGAAGTGTGATGATGGGGGAGCCCAGCAGTTGTGGGAAAAGCACTCGGGTGTGGGAGGGGCTTCTGGGAGTCTCCAAGCCTTGGAAGAGTGTGGAGAGGCATGTTTGTGGGAGGAGAGAGGGAGGGTGAGTGTATTTGAGATGCTGGTATGCAGCAGTGAGCAAGGCTGCAGGGCTCAGGGACCCAGGGCTGCCGTGTATGGTTGTCCAGGTTGTGCACTGCCCGAGAAAGGCTAAATGTGAAGGGCACCCTCATGTGTGTTGGGGAGAAGTCAAGCCAGTAATTTCCAAATGGATTTGTGAATGAGTTCCTATCTCTCTGGCTCTCTTCCTCTGGTGTCTCTTGCCTGCATCCTTCACCCCAACCCAACTGCAGACATGAGGAAGAGTGTCTGCTTCCGGCACTATAACGGTACATGTCGGAATGAGCTGACCTTTAACGTGACCCGGAAGACGTGCTGCTGTTCTTACAACATTGGCCAGGCCTGGAATAGACCCTGCGAGGCCTGCCCAACTCCTGCCAGCTGTAAGTGCCCCTCCCTGGCCTTCATTCCAGCTTGGCCCTTTTTAATGCAGTGTTTAATGAGGCATACCGCACTTGGGACTCCCAGATGAGTCTGTGTTGTTTTGATGAGAGCTGAAGAGTTGAAGTTCCATCCCAATCAACGTATGGAAAAATCAATACTTTTAAGGAGGGCAAGGCATCCTTCTATTTCACAGACTCGGGGAATTCAGGAGGGATCAGTGAGGCTTTCATTTGTGCTAAAGAACCTTGAACACTCACAGATTATTTGCTTGGGGGGCGGTCAGTGAGTGAGTGCCTAGGGCCAGAGAGAAAAGCACAGCTGGTTAGAGGCACCAGGGCCCCATGAGCTGCGGGTGGAGCAAGCTTGCAGAAGCTCTGGGGAGGATTACAGAAATGTCGGTCAGGATGAAGAAGGGTATTCCAGGCAAGGAACAGCAGGAGCAAAGTCCTGAAAGAAGGACTGAGCAGAAGAACTTTTTGGCAGTTGGGATGAGACCTATTAGGATGATCTAGCAACCAGCCCAGGCATCAGAAAGAGCTGCAGGAATGGAGCGGTGAGTAGAGGGGATAACTAGAGGGTTACAAGTGTATTAGTGCTATGGACTGAATGTTTGAGTCCCCTCAAAATTCATATGTTGGAGCCCTAACCCCCAGTGTGATGGCATTTGGAGGTGGAGCCTTTGGGAGTTAATTAGGTCATGTGGATGGAGCCCTCTAAATGCGATTAGTGCCCGTATAAGAAGAGACACAAGAAACGTTCTCTCTTTGCCACGTGAAGACACAGCAAGAAGACAGACAGGAAGAGTTCTCAGCAGACACCAGATCTGTTGGTGCCTTGATCTTGGACTTCCCAGCCTGCAGAACTGTGAGAAGTAAACGTTTGTTATTGAAGCCATCCAGTTCATGGTATTTCCTTATAGCAGCCTGAACTAAGACAATTAGTTTCCTAGGGTTGTGGCAACAAATACAAACTTGGTGGCTTAAGAAAGAAAAGAACACTAGAAACGTATTTTCTCACAGTCTTGGAGGCTAGACGTCATAAATCAAGGTGTGGGCAGGGTCACGCTTCCTTCAGAGGATCTAGGGATGAATTCTTACTTGCTTCGTCCAGGTTCTGGTGGTTCCAGGCATTCTTTGGTGTTGCTTGGCTTGTACCTGCATCTCCTCCATCTCTGCCTTCAACTCATATGGCTTCTCCCTGTGTCTCCACATGTCTCTTCATTTCTTATAAGGACACCAATCATTGCATTAGGGCTACTCTGATCCAGGCTGACTTTCACTTGATTGTATCTGCAAAGACCCTATTTCCCAAAAAGGTCACATTCAGAGGGTCTGGGTGGACATGAACTTTCAGGGTGGAGGGTCATTGTTCAACCCAGTGTAGTGGTATGAGAAGGGGTCATTACTGGCTGTCTCTGAGTGCCGGGCCCTGTTCTGGGTTCTAGGAAATAAGAATAAGGTAGACCCAAGCTGTGCAGTCTGGGAGGAAACTGCAGACAGCCAAGTCTGGTCATGAGATTGTCAAGACAGGTCAAATGTCACTCACAAATTATGTGCTGGGAGTTAGGCACCTACCTGAATCTTATGCACCTGAATCTGAGGTGCAGGTTGAATATGATGAGACAGAAGTCCACACTAGGCATAGGGGCCACTGAGATTGGTCTGTTCTCATCATGATACAGGCAGAAGAGCGAGTGAGGAGCAGGGCAGGGACCTGGGGAAAGGTGGCGCTGCCCAAATGCCTGCCCATGTCTATCAGGTGGGTCCAGGGACACCCACCCACCTGGGAATCTAGGTCAGGCAAGCAGCATCTTGGTGTCAGCAGTGGGATACAGTCAGAGAGTGAATTGCCCTGGAAGAGCCAAAGGATGGCATCATCAGCTGTCCAGGGCCAGAGTGGTGGGCTGCCCTGAGTCCTCAAGGTTGAAGTGGACTATGCTAGGGAACAGCAAAGGGAACAGCATATGCAAAGTCCCAGTAGCGTGACAGAGCAGGACACATCCAGACATGGAATGAAATCCTATAAGAGGAGGGCAGGAGATGCTGTTGGAGGAAAGGTGGGGCTGAGGGTGAAGGTTCTTGAGGTCCAGACTGAAGAGTCCGCATTTTATAGTGAGGACAGTGGGGTGTAGCTGGCGGCACTCATGCAGGGAAGAGATGAGGGAGGTCCTGCCAATGTGTTAGAAGACCACACCGCACAGGCGAATGGCACCCGTAACCCTCCCAGCGCTGGTCAGAGTGGAGGGAGGGAGAGGGACTAGTTATCAGAGGCCAGGTGAGCACTGGGCTACAGGGATGGACGAGCTGATCAGAGGAGGAGGAGGTGTCCTCCCAGGGAGGCTGCAGCCCCAGCGCCCTGCCTTCCCCATTCTCCTTTGCCCAGTGGATTACCAGATCCTGTGTGGAAACCAGGTTCCCGGGTTCGTCATTGACATCCACACAGGGAAGCCCCTCGGTGAGTGACCACCACCCTCCTGTCTGTAGCCCCAGGTCACTCTGTGCCCAGAGCCCTGCCCCCTCTCTTCCCCTCCCCCCACAGCTCTTTCCCTTCCACCCTCCCCTACCCCACACCCTCATTCTTCCAACTCCCCAGGCCAGGAATCCTGCCCCTTTTTTTAAAAAAGCAATGGGAGTATTTTTATTAAATTGTTACTCATTTTTTAAACTTCTGTAAAAATACACATAACATTTACCATTTTAACCATTTTTATGTGTCCAGTTCAGTGGCATTAATTACATTCACACTGTTGGGCAACCATCCCCACCATCATCTCCAGAACTTTCTCATCTTCCCAAACTGCAACTCTGTCCCCATGAAACCCTAACTCCCATCCCCCTCCCCCAGCCCCTGGGAACCCCCATTCTACTTTCTGTCTGTAAATCTGACCTCATAGAAACAGATTCGAACAGTATTTGTCCTTTTGTGTCTGTCTTATTTCACTCGGCATAATGCCCCCAAGGTTCATCCGTGTTGCAGTGGAGCAGAACGCTCCCTTTTTAAGTTAAATGAGGTTTTGTACAATTCAATACCTGAATGCCAAATTTCAGCTGTGCCGTGTTTCATTGATGAACCTATTTTCAGTTGTTTTCATTCCACGGTTGTATTCTCCTTATTTTCAACAATTGGAACAGAGCAGATAAGAGCAACTCCCCCTCCAGTCACCCCCTCAAATCTAAGTCTCCTTCATACTCTCCCAAGGTCATAACTCAGTCTCCCATGGATGGATACAGGCTGATTCCAGGTTCTTTTATATAAACAATAGATTTATTTATTTATAATTTATGCTTTACACCTGGAGTATTTCTTTCTAGTTCTTTTTTTTTTTTTTTGTGGTGCGCGGGCCTCTCACTGCTGTGGCCTCTCCTGTTGCGGAGCACAGGCTCCGGACGCGCAGGCCCAGCCGCCATGGCCCAGGGGCCCAGCCGCTCCGCGGCACGCGGGATCCTCCCAGACCGGGGCATGAACCCACGTCCCCTGCATCGGCAGGCGGACTCTCAACCACTGCACCACCAGGGAAGCCCTCTTTCTAGTTCTTTCTTCATGCATTTAAACACACATAGAGATCCGCCTTTGAAAATGTATGGCATTGTTTTCTGGGGAGTTGGACATAAATTACATAAATTCTGTGCTTTCTTATGTCTTGTCTGCAACTTATTTTTCTCACCCAGCAAAGAGTCGTGAAGAACCAGCCAGGTTACTACACGCAGCACTGCCTCCCTCTTTGCCCTGCTTTGTAGTATTCCATACGTGGACACATCCCAGGTCATAAGTCAGTCCCCCGTGGATGGACACATAGGCAGATTCCAGGTTCTTTTATATAAACAACAGCTTTATTGAGATATAATTCACTTCACCCATCAAAAGCGCACAATTCAGTGGGTTTTCGTATATTCACAGAGTTGTGCCCCATCACTTCAATTGAAGTTTGAACATTTCATCACATAAAAAGAAACCCTGTCCGCATGAGCAGTCATTCCCTGTTCTGCCTTCCCCCAACCCCTGGCAACCACTATTCCGCTTTCTATCTCTTTGGATTTGCCTGTTCTGGACGTTTCATATAAATGGAATCGTACGGTATTTGTCCTTTGGGGACTGGCTTCTCTCACTGAGCATCATGTTTTCAAGGTTCTTCCACGTTGTAGTGAGTGTCAGTGTTTCACCCCTTTTTCAGGATGAATCGTATTCCCTTGTAGGGAGGGACCACATTTTGTCATCCATTTCTCCGGTGATGTTTCCAATTTCTCGCTAAATGTCACCACAGGTCCTCCTGTGCAGCTTCCTGCTCACACACGGGACTGCTTCGTTCCCGGAGACCCCACAAAGCAGGCTTGCTGGGTCACAGCAAATGTGCATTTTTGTTGAGAAAGAGGCTCTCTCCCCCTGCCTTCCCTCCCACATCCTGATTTCTTTCCGGTGTGAGCAGATATAGTTTGGCCACTGCAGGATTTTTCAAGTGTGTGCTGGTTGGGGGACACATCTTCTCCTAGACTGCATGATCTCTTAGGTCAGGGTCCCCAGACGTTGCCGGGAGCTGAGCTGCTCCTGACAGCTGGCGCCCTCCCCAGACATCGACGAGTGTGGGGAGATCCCTGCCATCTGTGCCAGTGGGGTCTGCATCAACCAGATTGGGAGCTTCCGCTGCGAGTGCCCCACGGGCTTCAGCTACAACAGGGTGCTGCTGGTCTGCGAAGGTGCCGCCCCCCCTGCCTCCCCAGCCCCGGGTGGGATGCTGGTCCCCCCTCCCAGCCTGTGCTCTCTGGGCAAGTCTCTTAAACCTCGTGAGCCTCAGTTTCCCCCTCTGTGTATGAGGCTAACGCCTTTCCGAGGGGCTCCATCCCACATCACCCCGCTCAATGTGGTTCTGGCTGCTTCTGGAGGGACCACCTGCTCTGAAGTGGGGGGGGGAGGGCTGGGTTTAGGGTTTGATTCTGCAGGGAAGCGTCTCTTTCAACCCCACCCCGCTGGCTGTACTCCCCAGATGTGGACGAGTGTGCCAGCGGGGAGAGCCCCTGCCAGCAGAATGCCAACTGCATCAACATCCCCGGCAGCTACCGCTGCAAGTGCGCCCGAGGGTACAAGCTGTCGCCAGGGGGTGTTTGTGTGGGTAAGTGGGGACCTCAGTAGGGAGGTGAGGGAGTGGGGTGTAGGACAAAGCCAGACTCTGCCTCCCGCTGTGACTTGGGTAGGGCATGGCTCTGTCCGGGCTTTGTTCCTTGGCTGTACTTTTTTTTTTGGGGGGGGGGGCGGAGTGGCTGTGCCGCACAGCTTGCAGGATCTTAGTTCCCTGACCAGGGATCGAACCCGTGCCCCACTGCAGTGGAAGCGTGGAGTTATAAGCTGTGGACTGCCCGGGAATTCCCTCCTTGGCTGTACTTTGGGGTGGGGGTGCTGCGAGCATCTGTTAACGGGAGTCGTGAGGGTGAAATGGGAGGTGAAGCATTTCCCCTGGGACAGCAGCTAGAATGGGTAGGCGGTCGGGCTCTCCCACTGCCACGTGTGATGGCTCGCAACACACTGTGGGGTGGGGACTCTGGGGGCACCACACTCCCTGCCCTCCCTCAGGACGGAATGAGTGTCGGGAGATCCCAAACGTCTGTAGCCATGGCGACTGTGTGGACACAGCTGATAGCTACATGTGCCTGTGTCACCGTGGCTTCCGGGCTTCAGCAGACCAGACCCTGTGCATGGGTGAGAGCCCCCTCTGCTCCTTCCTCTTAGGCCAGGCTGCCAAGGGCGAGGGGCCATGGGTCTACACCTCCCCTGGGGTGGGGATGGTGCTTGTGCCCATCCTGATTCACAGACTCACAGCTGTGAGCCCTGGCACCTAAGACCTTGGGTAAATGACTTATTCACCTCCCTGCACCTCAGTTTTCCCATCTATAGAATGGAAGTGATAAATAGGGATATTTCCCAGCCATCACTTCCCATCCACCTGGGCAGGGTGAAGTACAGGAGAGGGGGGCTGGGTCCAGCCAGGCCCTCACTGCCCAAGCTGCCCGATGCCCTGGGTGAGCTGGGCGGGGATCAGGGGCTTTGCTCTGGCAGACGTCGACGAGTGTGACCAGCAGCCATGCGGAAATGGGACCTGCAAGAATATCGTCGGCTCCTACAGCTGCCTCTGCTTCCCTGGCTTTGTGGCGACACACAACGGACATTGCGTGGGTGAGCTGCCCAGGCTGGTGGGCGAGCCTCAGTGCACCCCCACTGAAAAGTGGGTCCTTGGCTTGAGGGCACCCCTCTGAAATAAAGGATCTCGCCCCAGGGATACCTTCAGGAAAACAACCTCAGGGGATTGAAAACTAGTTAACCGTAAAGTTCTCCAAACCCCTTCAATCGTCAAGTACCAAGGGTCCCTCACTAGAGCTTACACTCAGGTCGATAAGAAGGAGATGGACAGTACAGAGAGAAAGGTGAACAGTGAAGACAAGACGTGGGTTGTGTGATGCTGGCAGTTCAGTGCAGTGGTTGAAAGTGGATTCCAAGGTCAGGTGGTGTGAGTTCAAATCCCAGCTTTGCCATCTGCCAGCTGTGTGAGCCTAGGCAAGTCATTTACGTTTCTGTGCTTCCGTTTCCTTCTCTGTAAAAAGAAGGTTAATGGTAGTACCTACCTATCTTAATATCAGACCAAATTGACTTCTTTTTTTTTTATAAATTTATTTATTTTTTTGTTTATTTATTTATGGCTGTGTTGGGTCTTCGTTGCTGCTTGCGGGCTTTTATTTTAGTTGCAGCGAGCAGGGGCTACTCTTCGTTGCGGTGTGTGGGCTTCTCATTGCGGTGGCTTCTCTTGTCGCGGAGCATGGGCTGTAGGCGCGTGGGCTTCAGTAGTTGTGGCATGCAGGGTCAGCAGTTGTGGCTCGCGGGCTCTAAAGTGCAGGCTCATTAGTTGTGGCGCACGGGCTTAGTTGCTCCGTGGCATGTGGGATCTTCCCGGACCAGGGCTCGAACCTGTGTCCCCTGCATTGGCAGGTGGATTCTCAACCACTGCACCACCAGGGAAGCCCCCAGATTGATTTCTGAAGAAGGAATATTACCAGAAATAAAGAGAGTCAATATATATTGATTAAAGGGTCATTTCTCTGAGAAGACATAACAATCATAAATGCATATGCAGCTAGCAGTAGAGCTTCAAAACACATGAAGTAAACATTGATAGAACTGAAAAAGAAATAGACAAGTTCATAATTACAGTTAGAGGCTTTAACACTCCTTCCTCAATAATAGAGGGAACAAGTAGAAGATCGGTAAGAATATAGAACACCTGAACAATCATGTGAACCACCTAGAACTGAGTGATATTTATAGAACATCCCAGAACATACATTCTTCTCAGGTGCACATGGACCTTCACCAGGAAAGACCATATTCTGGGCCATAAGATAAACAACAAAATTTTAAAAATTGAGGTTACACAAGATAGGTCCTTGGAATGTAAGTGAATTAAACTAGAAATCAGTCACAGAAAGATATCCAGAAAATCCCCAAATGTTTGGAAGTTAAATAATATACTCCCAAAGAATCCATAGAAAAAGGAACAAATCATAAAGAAAATTAGAAAACATTATGAATTAAATGAAAAAGAAAACACAACATAACAAAATTTGTGGGATGCAGCTAAGGCAGTATGTACAGGCAAATTCATGCCCTTAAAATGCTCATATTAGAGAATATTGGCGTCTGCTTTATAGGATAGTTGGAGGGTTAATATACAGCTGGTATATAAGTGCTCAGTAAATTGAAGTCATTGCCATCCACTCAACTTTGTGAACAGAAGAGCAAGGGAGGCTCAGAGCCCTAGGCTATGTGGGTGACCCCAGTGGCCCATCTTCCATCTGCAGACATGGATGAATGCACCACCATCGTGGGGCAGGTGTGCCGATTTGGCCAGTGCCTCAACACAGCAGGCTCCTTCCACTGCCTCTGCCAGGATGGCTTTGAGCTCACAAGTGATGGGAAGAACTGCATAGGTGAGTCTCACCATGGTGCTGGAAGCCATCTCAGCCTGCCCCTACTCTAAGTTTACCTTCAGTTGGTACTTCCAAGTGAGCATGGTTCCATTTCATAAGCATGCATTTATTTTAAGGTATAAAACCAGCACATCACACCCATGTTTTCACAGGGTTTGTGGTTTAGGGTGAGGCTGTCTTGAAGCTCTAAGTTTTATGAAGTATGGTATAATAGAGGTGTTGAATGGATGCCATGAAAACCATGAAAGGGGTGTGTAAGTGGCTTGAGATTAGGAACTTTGCTTCCCCTTCCCCTGGCTCCACCTATAACCCCCATCAAGACCAAGAATATTCTTCTCCAGATGTCCCTGTTTTCCTGAGTATCAGCCCTTCCTCTGGATCCAGAAAGGCTTGTCTGGGGGCCTTGGCCATCATGCAGTGACCATAGGTGCCGGTCCTAGCCCCAGGCAAGCCCCTGCCACCAGCTGTTGCTGGGACCCCTCCTCCTCCTCTCCCCAGACGCCAACGAGTGTCTCAGCCTCGCGGGAACCTGCCTGCCAGGCACTTGCCAGAACCTTGAGGGCTCCTTCCGCTGCATCTGTCCCCCCGGCTTCCAGGTTCAGAGTGACCACTGTGTCGGTGAGTGTCCGGCCTCACCTCCCAGCCCTGGGGCCAGGGAGGTACCTCCGGGCCTCTGTTCTTCCCCCATCTGTAAAATGGGAATGCCAGCTGGGGTGGTGGTGAGTGAAGAGATGCAGTTAGCACAGCACCCAGTACAGCTCCATATACTGTTATTGTTATTAGGATGCTCTCTTGGCTCAGGGTGCTCTCTCTCTGGGGCCCCCAGGCTTCCTCGTGAATCCTATAAAATGGGCATGGGTGTGGGTCTCACTGCACCAAACATGGAACTTCTCGCTTGATGAGTGGTGGTCAAGGACCAGTCTGGCCTGAACACCTCTGGTCCACTCATCCACTTGGACTAGGCTTGTACAGTCTGGGCTAATGTGGGCCAACCTGGCCTTAGCAGATGGGCTAGCCTAGTACAACGCAAGCTAACTTCTTCCACTGTAGGCTAATTTTATCTAGTCTTACTTAGTTAGCTCTGTATAAATTTACTCTCTAAAGATGAACTTTTCCAGACCATGACCCCTACCCTGGAGACACCTTCTAGGAAAGACCCCACACACACACTGCCCACCTGGTGCTCCAGCTAATCCTGAGCCCTGGGGACCCCACCCTGCGTCAGTCCCTGGACCCTCCCTGCCTGGGCCCCCCACTCCATCTGCCCCTCCCAGCAGCCGAGGCCGCCCACCCCAGTGGAGGGCCTGCTGCACCCCACCCACCTCACGTCCCTGCCCCTCCAGACATCAACGAATGCTTGGAAGAGCCCAACCTGTGCCTCTTTGGCACCTGTACCAACAGCCCCGGGAGCTTCCAGTGCCTCTGTTCGCCTGGCTTTGTCCTGTCTGACAACGGGCACCGTTGCTTTGGTGAGTCTGGGGCCAGGGAGCACACAGGGTTAGGGAAGAGGTGGGAGGTGGGGTGAGGAAGAGCTGGGTCACCCAGAAAGGGGGCTGCAGTTTCTTGTATGTATCTCCAGGAGCCTTGTCCAGTGTGGGCTAGCCTCACCCAGGCTGAGCTGGCCTCTTCTCTCCCAGGTTAGGGCAGCAAGGCAGAGGGCAGGGCAACTCAACAAGTATTTGTTGTTATGGGGGCCAGTGGTGAACCAAACCCCAACTTATCTGTAAGGACATCTCAGGCCGGTGGTGGTCCAGGGCTAAGGACTGGGAGTCAGTAGCGAGGATTTGGAGTCTGAAATCTGGGTCCTCTGGCTCTCTGGAATGAGTCACTTTGCCTCTCCAGGAAAGGAGTTCTGATCCAAGAATAACATGGCTAGGTTTGACCATTCTCCCAGCCTGAGATGACCCCCACAGATGTGAATGTGGGGTGTTGCTGGAAGGGATTCTCAGATTTTCAGCAAAAACCCCAGGGCTGACCCTCATTGGCCCAGTGTGGGTCACATGTCCGTCCCTGAACCAATCACCATGGAGTGATTCTGGAGCATTCTGATTGGTCGCTGGTAGGGTGAGGACCACCCTATTCATGAGGACTGGGGTGGCTAGCCCTCCTAGCTTTTCTCTGGGGAATCACCCCACAGACACACGGCAGAGTTTCTGCTTCACCCATTTCGAGGCTGGAAAGTGCTCGGTACCCAAAGCTTTCAACACCACCAAGACCCGGTGCTGTTGCAGCCAGAGGCCCGGCGAGGGCTGGAATGACCCCTGCGAGCTGTGTCCTCAGGAGGGCAGTGGTGAGCACCCACCCCGGTCCAGTCTCCCCTGACCCTCCCTGCCTGCCCCCATCTGCTCTCCTTCAAGCCTTCCCTACACACAGGGGCATCCTGGGGCCTGCACGTGGCCCCAGACCCTCACCTCCCTTCCCCTCTCGGTGTCCAGCCGCCTTTCAGGAGCTGTGCCCCTTTGGCCACGGGGCAGTCCCAGGCCCAGATGATTCTCGGGAAGGTGAGCCCCTCGCCCACGTGCTAAGAGCCCCCCTGGGCCACCGCAGTCTCCTCTTTTCCTGCCCAGCCCTGTCTGGGCTCTACCCTGGTTCCCAAGTCTCAGGCTCCCTCCTCGTCCCATGGGTAGCCCTGGACCTCACCCCCCCTGGAGGGAAGGAAGAGACCCTGAGTGTGGCCAGGGCATGACAGATGCCGTGCCTGCTACCTGCAGACGTGAACGAGTGTGCGGAGAACCCTGGCGTCTGTGCTAACGGCCTTTGTGTCAACACTGATGGCTCTTTCCGCTGCGAGTGTCCTTTTGGCTACAGCCTGGACTTCACAGGTGTCAGCTGCGTGGGTGAGTGACCAGCACGCCCCAGCCTGCTTCCCAGGGAAGGAAGGAGCCAGGGAGGGCAGACACCACCCAAGGCAGCACCCTGCTGCTCAGCCACTGTCACTCTCCCCCACCGACTCGTGCTTCTTGCTGTTTATTCACTCATTCATTTATTCATTTACTTATTCATTCACGCATTTGCACACTTTTCATTCATTTACTTGCTCTTCACTCATTCATTCACTCACTCATTTACTCATTCACTTATTCATTTATTCATCTAAAACATACTGCATGCCTGCCCTGCGTCCAGCCTATTACGCATTTTTTTTTTTTTTTTGCGGTACGCGGGCCTCTCACTGTTGTGGCCTCTCCCGTTGCGGAGCACAGGCTCCGGACGCGCAGGCTCAGCGGCCATGGCTCACGGGCCCAGCCGCTCCACGGCATGTGGGATCCTCCCGGACCGGGGCACGAACCCGCGTCCCCTGCATCGGCAGGCGGACTCTCAACCACTGCGCCACCAGGGAAGCCCCCGTCCGGCCTAAAGGTGCAGCAGATCTGGCCCTATCCACTCTGTAGGAAGTCAGCAGGAGGCAGACAGGATCACGTCAAGGGTGGGAGCCCTCTGCAGGCTCTGACCACCCCCTTACCCCCACCCCAGACACAGACGAGTGCTCTGTCGGACACCCCTGCGGGGAAGGCACCTGCACCAATATCATTGGAGGCTTCGAATGTGCCTGTGCTGATGGCTTTGAGCCTGGTCCCATGATGACCTGTGAGGGTACGACCCTGCCTGCCCAGACCTGGGCTGTGTGATAGGGGTGAGGGGGGCTGGCCTGAGAGAGGGACAGGGGGTCCTGCAGGCAGACCCCACCCAGCCGGCACCTCCACTGACCTCCCCAGACATTGACGAGTGCTCCCTGAATCCCCTGCTCTGCGCCTTCCGCTGCCACAACACTGAGGGCTCCTATGTGTGTACCTGCCCGTCTGGCTATGCCCTGCGAGAGGATGGGGCCATGTGCCGAGGTAGGACCCGTATGGGCAGGCGGGCTATGGATAGGGCCCTGGGGCTCCCCATGCCTCAGTCCCGAGAGAAAATGAAGAAATAAGACCTCTGCCTCCAAGGGTGGGAATGAGCGGTAAGTGATAAAGTGAGGGGAGAGCTGAGGCAAGTGAGGGTGCAATGGGTGCTCTTTTGTGAGTAGTGGTTCTGCTTTTATAGTTAAGAAAGGGGGTGCTAGCATCTCCTTGGCTCCCCAATCTAACAGAACAGTGAGTGTGGCTTTGGAGACCTCTCCAGTTGTGGCTGGACATGCTCTGAGTGGGCTAGCACAGTGGGGACAGCGATTGTGCCCCCGACCCAGGGACATGTGGCAATGTCTGGAGACATTTTTTATTGTCACAGTTGGGTGGGTGGGTGGGTGCTACAGGCATCGAGTGGCCAGGGGTGCTATTCAATATCCTACAGTGTGCAGAAGAGGCTCCCACCACAAAGAATTTTCTAGTCCCAAATGTCCAGTGTCGAGGGTAGAAACCCTGGCCTGTGACTTGGTCCCTCAAGGGCTATTTCAGAGTCAGTGTTCCAGGGACCACAGTGAAGGCCAGACAGATTCACAGACCCTGATGTAGGCAGGGCATGCGGGTGTTCGGGGCAGTTGTGATCCCCCCCCTTGGCTTCCCAGGAGGTCTGGGACGGTCGGGGGAGGAACGGGCGCCTGGCAGTGCTTCAAGGACCTCACTCTGGCCCACCGAGGCCACCGGGGGGTGGGGTCCAGGTCCTCACATCCTGGAGCTGGTCCATGGTGTGTCTGGTCTTCACCGCCATTGGTCTGGGGTTGCCCGCAGATGTGGACGAGTGTGCAGACAGCAAGCAGGACTGCCACACCCGGGGCATGATGTGCAAGAACCTCATCGGCACCTTCACCTGCATCTGCCCCCCGGGCATGCGGCCCCAGCTGGGCTCTGGGGAGGGCTGCACAGGTACAGGAGGGCTTCAGGCATGCAGGGTCTCCCTGCCCCCGACGGATGGGAGAGTTCAAAGCCAGAGGGTGTGGGTGGGCAGACTTTGACCCTGGAGGTGGAGGCCAGCTCGAGGGACTCTGGCCTCCCCCCACTCCCCGGCCTGCCGCATCCCTCCCGCCTCAGATGACGATGAATGCCATGCCCAGCCCAGCCTCTGTGCCAATGGCCGCTGCGTCAACACCATAGGCAGCTTCCGCTGTGATTGTGACGAGGGCTTCCAGCCCAGCCCTGGCTTCACTGAGTGCCACGGTGAGTGTGGCCAGACCCAGGTACGGGGGACATAGCCACCCAGCGTGTGGCACCGCCACCTGGGAGCTCCCCAAGGCGGGGACAAGGCCAGGGCCACCGAGGGGGTCACTGAGCCAATCCAGACACACGTGTCCACCGCACGCCCCCAGCTTCCCTTTGTCCCTTCAGTCAAACCCCCTGGAAGATTAGAGCATCTCCCCCCTGCCCTGTCCATCATCACACCCAGGAACTGGCCCTCCCCGGATTCACCACTTCCTAAGGGCTAAACCTGGAGGGCGACCCAGTGGTACCGTCTGCCCCGGAGACTTGTCTGTCCCTGTCCCCACAGTCCTTGCCACTCTTCTCCCTTTTTACTCTCCCCTGACCCCGAGCACAGTCTCCACCCCGCAGCTTCAGATCAAGCGTGTGTATCCAGCTGTCTCCTGGACACCCCCATCCCCCATGCACCCCAGATTCAGCTCAGCATCTTCGCTCCCCAAGCCTCGTCTCAGCGATGCCCTACCTCCCACCCAGACCCCCAAGCCAGCCTCCTGGAGTAACCCAGTGGCCTCCTCCCCACTTCCCTGGATGTCACCCCTCGCTCTGTCCCTACTGTCTCTCCTGGACGCCACCACCTTTTGCCTCCACGTTGTCCCTTGTTCTCTCTGCGGCCAGAGGGATGCTGCCCTCTGACCTCAGGAAGCCATCCTCTGCAGCCCAGGGGTACCTCTCCGGTTTGGGGTCTGCAGCTTCCGCCACAGCCCAGCCCCAGCCCCGAGAGGGCGTTTAACAGCACTAAGCAACCACAACTTGCAAGATGTCACCCCGTGCACGGGCACAGATGCGTCGGAGATGCTGGGAGCCCACGTCTAGACTCTCAACACCGCTGGACGCCACGGGGAAGGGGCACCCAGACAGCTCGTTCCTCCCACCCACCATCCCCACCCGTTCTTTCCAGACACCCGGCAAGGGCCCTGCTTCTCCGAGGTGCTGCAGGCCACGTGCCAGGCTCAGTCCAGTGGCGGCGAGGCGGTCACCAGGGCCGAGTGCTGTTGTGGGGGTGGCCGCGGCTGGGGCCCCCACTGCGAGCTCTGTCCCCTGCCCGGCACTGCCGCCCACAAGAAGCTGTGCCCCCACGGCTCGGGCTACACCGCCGACGGCCGAGGTGGGTGGCGATCTGTTCATGGTTGTGTGTCTGTGCTCCAGCCGGTGTTAAGAGTACGTGAGCCAGTGTGTGCATCTCTGTGCTGGCAGGTGTGTGGACCAGCGTGAACCAGAGCCTGTTTGTCGCTCTGCGTGTGTGCGTGAACTTGGGTGGGATGGGGGAGCAGGTGTGTGAGCCAGCGTGTGTGCGTGTGTCCTTTGTTCTGTGTGTGCGGGCTCATTAGTGAGACGCATGATTGGTGTGCAATGCTTGTGCGTCCATCTCTGCTTCCATGTATGTGGACGGGGTGCCCTGAGAAGGCGTCGCTGAGGCGGCTGTGGTGTGGGTGTGTCCCCACCACGGGGATTCTCAGCGTCCAGCGGAAGGAGTTTCATTCGCCTCAGGGTGGGGTTCACAGGGGCCAGGCCACCAGCTCTGGGGTGCCGGGAGGGGAAGCAGAGGCTGGCCTTGCCTCCCGGGAGAGGGCTGGTGGGCCCAAGGGAGGCGGCATGCCCTGGTGACCCAGGGGGGACGGCCCCAGCCGAGCCCTGCTTGTCCTCAGACGTGGATGAGTGCCGCGTGCTCGCTCACCTGTGCCCCCATGGCGAGTGCATCAATAACCTTGGCTCCTTCCGCTGCCACTGCCGGGCTGGGTATGCGCCTGACACCACTGCCACAGCCTGCGTGGGTGAGCCCCCTGCCCCACCCCGTGAGCCTCTCCGTGCAGCGCCTGGCACACATCCCCGTGAGAAAACCGAGACCAGAAGCAAAGCATCCTTGTTTCTTCCCTCCACCCCCAGCCCATGTGGACCACTTTCCTCCTGTTATCTGGTGCATCCTAAGTTTTTCAGTCACGTTGTGTAGCAGGTGTTCATCTAAGTCGGGGTTGGCAAATTCCTGCCCAAGGGCTGAGTCCAGCCCTCCGCTTATTTTTGTTAATAAAGTTTTATTGGCACATGGCCACGCCTATTTGTTTCCTTACCCTCTGTGGCTGTTTTCCTGCTACAGAGGCAGGGTTGAGTAGCTGGGATTGAGACTGTCTGGTCCGCCAAGCCAAATATATTTACTCTCTGGCTTTTTACAGAAAACAAACAAACAAAAAAAACAGTTCCTTTTGTAAGCCCACAGATTCTGAATAGCTGGGGTCCGGGAAGGAGGCCTCAGCAGGGTGGGGGTGGGGACCCCAGCCCCTGAGCCCCCAGGAATGTCTGACTGACCCTCCTGAGGGCTGCGTCCCCTCTAGATGTGGACGAGTGCAGCCAGGTCCCCACGCCATGTCCCTTCCTCTGCAAAAACACCAAGGGCAGCTTCCTGTGCGCCTGCCCCCGAGGCTACCTGCTGGAGGAGAATGGCAGGATCTGCAGAGGTGACGTCCCTCTCTCCCCACCTATGCACCATGGGGCTCTGTCCCTGTCCCCCACAGGGGCATCTCACATGCCCTCCCACGGCATGGGGTCGGGTGCCGTCTCCAGGGTGTCTCCCCTGGGAAGCCCCAAGTCCCGGCGGGCCCTGCCCTGAGCCCGCTGGGACCCTCTGTGCTGCAGACGTGGATGAGTGCTCCTCCAGGCAGCACAACTGCCAGTTCTTCTGCGTCAACACCATCGGTGCCTTCACCTGCCGCTGTCCCCCTGGCTTCACCCAGCGCCACCAGGCCTGCTTTGGTGAGTCCCCTTCGGCCCTCGCGGCTGGTGCTTGGCCCCAGCCTTCACCAAATAAGTGGCAAATGCACAGTGTGTGCCAGACATCAGGGACACAGGGGTGATTAGAACAAAGCCCTTGCTCTGTCGCTGCTTACGTCCTGGTGGCAACTGGGACGTCAGTCTCCTTCCTTGCCTTAGGGACCTGGGAGACCACCCTCAGGAGTCTCTCTGACCTTGGCCCAGGACACCTACCCTCACCCTTGACCTGCCGAGTCTCTCGGCAGAGGGCCTCCCCAGGGTGCCCCCAAAAGCCAAGGGGGTCACGCAATCCAACTGTCACTTCTTAGTGTCTTGTGACCTGGGAGAACCAGACCTCCCCCAAGGGCTGAACCTAGACACGGGTGGCTTCTTTCAGGCTCCCACGAATCCACTCAGCCAACACCTACTGAACACCTGTGTACCAGGCAGTGCTCTAGACCAGAGCTCAGCAGACTCCAGCCCCCAGGTCAAGCCCGGCCCCCTGCTTGCTTTTGTCAATAAAGTTTTATTGGCACACAGCCATGCCCATTCATTTACATATTGTCTGTGGCTCATTTGCTACAACAGCAGAGCCAAGTAGTTGCAACAGAGTAAAAAATATTTCCTACCTGGCCCTTTACGGAAGCAGTTTGCCTCATCCTGTTCTAGACCCTGAGGGCACAGCAATTGAACACAAGGGTCAAGCTTGCTGCCTCATGAACCATCCCTTCTGCCAGGGAATGACTAGAAACAAACATAACAAATTACCACTGTAGCGTGTTAGAAGGTGATGTGGGACATGAAAGAAAGAAAAAGTAGAAAGCAGGGGAAGGCAATCAGGAGGGCTACAACATAATTCTATTTTTTAAGTGAGATATAATTGACATGTAACATTATATTAGTTTTAGGTGTACAACATAGTGACTCGATATTTATGTATATTGCGAAGTGATCACCACAGTAAGTCTAGTTAACATCCATCATCACATAGTTACAAAATTTTTTTCTTGTGATGAGAACTCTTAATATATACTCTCTTAGCAACTTTGAAACATACAGTACAGTATTATTCTTTTTCCTTAACAGATTTTTTAATTTAATTTTTATTTTATATTGGGGTATAGTTGATTTACAATGTTGTGTTAGTTTCAGGTGTACAGCAAAGTGAATCAGTAATACATAGACACATACTTATTCTTTTTCAGATTCTTTTCCCATATAGGGTTATTACAGAATATTGAGTGGAGTTCCCTGTGCTATACAGTAGGTCTTCGTTGATTATCTATTTTTGTGTGTGTATATGTTAATCCCAAACTCCTAATTCATCCCTCCCCCTCACCTTTCCCCTTTGGTAACCATAAATTAGTTTTCTAAGTCTGTGAGTCTGTTTCTGTTTTGTAAATAAGTTCATTTATATCATCTTTTTAGATTCCACATATAAGTGATATCATATAATATCTGTCATTCTCTGACTTACTCCACTTAGTATGATAATCTCTAGGTCCATCCATATTGCTGCAAATGGCATTATCTCATTCAATGCAGTATTATTTATTTATTTATTTTTGGCTGCGTTGGGTCTTCATTGCCGTGCACAGGCTTTCTCTAGTTGCGGCGAGCGGGGGCCACTCTTTGTTGCGGTGCACGGGCTTCTCACTGTGGTGGCTTCTCTTGTTGTGGAGCACAGGATCTAGGCGCGCCAGCTTCAGCAGTTGTGGCATACGGGCTCAGTAGTTGTGGCTCCTGGGCTCTAGAGCTCAGGCTCAGTAGTTGTGGTGAACGGGCTTAGTTGCTCCGTGGCATGTGGGATCTTCCCAGACCAGGGCTCGAACCCAGTGTCCCCTTCATTGGCAGGCGGATTCTTAACCACTGCGCCACCAGGGAAGCCCTCAATGCAGTATTAGTAACCACAGTCACCATGCTGTTCATTACATCACATGACTTATTTATTTTATAACTGGAAGTTTGTACCTTTGACCACCTTCTTCCCTTTCAATCACCTCTCAGACCCTCCTCTGGCAACCACAAGTCTGTTCTCTGTATCTGTGAGCTTGGCTTTCTTGTTTTGTTTTTAGATTCCACATATAAGTGGGATCACACGGCATTTGTCTTTCTCTGTCTGACTGATTTCCTCTTAGCAAAATACCCACAAGGTCCAACCATGTTATCACAAGTGGCAGGATCGCCTTCTTTTTTATAGCTGAATAATATTCCATTGTACGTATATAACACATTTTCTTTATTCATCCATGTTTGGATACTTAGATTGTCCCCAGGTCTTGGCTATTCTGAATAATGCTGCAGTGAACATAGGGGTGCAGATATCTTTTCAAGTTAGTGTTTTCATTTTCTTTGGATAAATACACCCAGAAGTGGAATTGCTAGGTGGGCTGCAGGAATAATGGCAAGCCTCACTGAAAGGGGAAAGATTTGAAGGAGGTGAAGGAGTGAGCCGTGTGCATATCTGTGGGAGGAGTGAGCATTCCTAGCCACGAAATGACTGGCATTTCTCCTTTTTCTGTACAGTCAAGTTATTTTCCCTCCTTCTTAAGGTGAGCACACTTACTATGGCATTTGTGTGTGTGCAGCTGTATGCGTGTGCACACAGAGGCTTAGAAGCCCCATGTCCCAATGCCTCTTGTACCCAAGAGAGATTCCAGGTTCCCACAGGGCTGTGCCTGGTGTCAAGAATCTCTATACTCAATAAAGAAGATGTGGGCTTCCCTGGTGGCGCAGTGGTTGAGAGTCCACCTGCCGATGCAGGGGACACGGTTTCGTGCCCCGGTCCGGGAGGGTCCCACATGCTGCAGAGCGGCTGGGCCCGTGAGCCATGGCCGCTGAGCCTGCACGTCCGGAGCCTGTGCTCCACAACGGGAGAGGCCACAACAGTGAGAGGCCCGCAAACCAAAAAAAAAAAAAAAAAAAAAAAAAGAAGATGTGGTATATATACAGTGGAATACTACTCAGTCATAAAAAAGAATGAAATAATGCTATTTGCTGCAACATGGATGGACCAAGAGATTACCATACTAAGTGAAGTAAGTCAGACAAAGACAAATACCATATGATATCACTTATATGTGGACTCTAAAATATAACACAAATGAACTTATTTACAAAACAGAAACGAACTCACAGACATAGAGAACAGACCTGTGGTTGCCAAGGGGGAGGGGAGGGATGGAGTGGGAGTTTGGGACTAGCAGATACAAACTATTATATGTAAAATGGATAAACAACAAGGTCCTACTGTATAGCATAGTGAAGTATTGATAGATTCAATATCACTCAATAAACCATAATGGAAAAGAATATATTTATGTATAACTGAATCACTTTGCTGTACACCAGAAACTAACACAACATTGTAAATCAGCTATACTTCAATAAAATAAAATTTTAAAACTTAAAAAAAAATCTCCATAGTCAAGGAAGCCTAAGTTAGGGTTCCCCCTAGAAATGTATGGTTCATTCTCCATGACCCCAATCCCAATGCAATTTACCACCATGGACCATGACCACCATAGCAATGTTGCCTGATAACCAGGCCTGTCTTAGCTCAGGCTGCCATGACAAAATATCATAGACTGGGTGTCTTAAAAAACAGACATTGCTCACAGTCTGGAGGCTCTAGGTCCAAGATTAACATGATAACAGGGTCAGGTTCTGATGAGGGCCTCTTCCTGGCTTGCACACGGCCACCTTCCTCCTGTGTCCTCATGTGGTAGGGAGAGAACAAGAGTAAAGCTCTTTGGTGTCTCTTCTTATAAGGGCACCAATCCCATCAGGAGGGCCCCACCCTCATGACCTCTTCTAACCCTAATCACCTCCCAAAGGTCTCGCCTCCTAATACCATCACTCTGGGGCTTAGGGTTTTGGGAATTTGGCAGTGGTGGCATTGGGGGTGGGGCGGGGGGGACACACACATTCAATCCATAACTCTGGCTGACATCCCACAATTGTCAGGTTTCCATGAGGACAGAGTGCAACAGTTACCCCAGGTCATTTTCCCACAGAGAAGGAAAAGGGGTTTTGTTAATCTTCTACTCTTAGGTTGAGCACTGTCCCAGTGCTTCATGTGATTAGGTTAATTTAATTCTCACAAAACACAGTGAGGTAGATATTATCATCTCCATACTACAGCTGACAAAACTGAGGCACAGAGAGGGTAAGTCGGTTGCCCTACGTCACACAGCACTGAGGTGGTAGAGATGAGATTCAAAGTCCTATATGTGCGTGCTCTCAAGTGTTTGTGACAGTTCTGTGAAGTGGGAACTGTTATGGATCTCCTTTCACAGAGAGGGAAACTGAGGCTCAGAGAGGTTAAGATTTGCCTGGGGGACTTCCCTGGCTGTCCAGTGGTTGAGACTCCACACTTCCAATGCCGGGGCTGTGTGTTCGATCCCTGGTCTGGGAACTAAGATCCCACAAGCTGCATGGTGCAGCCAAAAAATGTGTGTGTGTGTGTGTGTGTGT